TACATATATATAAGTAAATGTTCCTGTGGTACCACAATGGGCTATCATTTAAGCTCAAGTGCGCTTTTTGGAAACAAGGCCGCCACTCCAACCTACTTACTTACCTAAATAAATATTGATTTTAATCGATAATGCTTATATTTTACTAAATTAACTTTGCTGTGAGACACCATACATAGAAAGATATCTGAAATATAAGTACCAATAATATAGTAAGCAAGAATGGATGTGGTGGCGACCTTATCTGATAAGCAGATTCAGTAAAATATAGAAGAAGAGTAAGCAGTCAACAATATCTCAGCAGATATTGAAATAATTGCAGTATTTCTCAATTAGATTCACTTGGTTTGCTCAGCATCATATGTGAGAGAACTTTATTCCGATGGCTCAATTTATATGTTTAACCAAGCTGTCATTTCTCAAGATTAAGACATCTCCAGATATTTCAAAAAAATTTCTTTGTTTTTATTGTTTTTAAGTTTTTATAAAATTAAGTCCTTCTTGACAAACTGCAACTATTTTCTACTAAACGGCGTGAGGCGATGGCGCAAGGTTTTATCATATATTCTGCTATCAATACATCTTTAAAGGTGGGCATATCGTGGGTAAAGATGGTGTGCAGAAAATACCGCTAAATATTGACTTGTGGAAAAACTGCATTAACAGAAAATATTTTATATATCATCTTTTATTTTTACATAAAATAATTTATCCTTTATTATATATGATGTTGTGCTTTTAATAAATTATTTACAAATATTTAATAATTAAATATTTTTAATAATATTTAATAATATAATATTATATTTAAGAAATATTAAAAATATTAAAAAAATATATATATATATTATTATAAAATATATTAGATATTTTTAAGTAAGCATTCCATGAATAAAGTTAAGTGGAAAGAAAAAAAATGTTTAATATTATTAGTAAAACCATTACGATAAAATAAGATTAAAATTATAAGTGCTGATTCTTTTGTATCAAAGTAGGTATACATCAGATATTCTTATCAGTATCTATACTTCATTTCTGAAATATTGTATTGTCTTATTTAACTGACTTATCAATAACAGTTATTTAATTTTCATTACTTCTTTTAAATATTTACTTTTACATTTACTCTTAATATTATTATCCTAAATACGTACATTGTTGATGTGTGAAATTTTTAATTAAAAATTTCTTTACATTTTCTTTATTAAAACCACGTCATGGTTCTTCCTCTGTGCCACAATATAAGCTTTACTCACAGATTTTATTAATTTCTCGGTATATTATTTTCCAATACAAATTGTACGCAGAGCCGCCATACATCTACCTTCGGCTGCCTCGCAACTCAGTGCTTTCAATTAAACTCCTTCAGTGAAGCGTTTATTACTTCCATTTTTCTCATAATGCTACTTTCCTTGTAACTTGAATTTAAAATTGCGTCAAAAATAAATTTCGGTAAAGCAGCAGATTTACTTATGCTGCACGGAGAATTATTGAAAGCAAGTGCAACGGAGCATATGGTATATGCATAGGTATATACCAGTACGCCGTAATGTATGCAACGAAAAGTAGCAGAACGTTAAAATTTGCGCATTTTAAATGCAACTTAATTCAGTCTCGTATTAAAAGTTGCACGTACTCACACGCAGTGAGACGAGCACGTTTACTTGTGGTGTTAAAATTATTGGTACTAGCGCTATCAAAATTTGTTGTTCTCCCTCGCAGATGCTGTTACCTGGTAGCAGACCTGGTTGATCTGGCATATGCTGAGTGTTGTTGCTTTTAAAATTTAAAGCTGTGCAATGTTTGGGAACGAAACTTAACATTGAAATATTGGCAGATTAATTTTGTAATGGAAGCACGATTACTGTAATCAATTTGATTAGACTTGATTTCATTGTTGAAATTGAATGAATATAGTATTTTGAAAAAATTTCGTTTAAATAACTGATTAACAATGAAAATGCTTTAAAAATACTTTAAATAATATGCAATTATTTGCTTTAACAACCCACTAATAGTTCACGCCAAAATTCATTGTGAGAAACTTCATAGGGAACTATTGCAACTGAATGACAACTTCGGTTTCGCAAGTTTTCTTGCCTAATTGCACTCGAAACGCTAAATAAATTTGATGTGTGGCAATTCTGGGAATGTTAGATACAAACGCATTTATGCATAGAAGCATACTAAATTGTATACTTATATATGTAAATACTTCCCCAACATTTTAGTTTAACTCCATTCCAAACCATAAAGTTCAGCGTTCATGTTGGCACTTAAGTCTCTGGTAACTTGCTGAGTAAATTGTGCGTGCAGAAATGAAATTCACATTCACTCAAATACATTTGCATATGTGCAAAATATTTTCAGTAATATAAATACAATCAGATAATATAGTTTATTCAGAAAAGATATTTTTAAATCAAACTTTTTTTGTTATAATCAAAAGTTTTACAAAATTGCATCTTACATCTGAATTTCGAGCTAACATCAGAAGTGCATGGAGTCTCAAGCTTTTGCTTGTACTTAGAATATATCTATACACTTATCAATACTATCTAACGATACCGACAGTTTTAACAAGCAAAACTTTGATTTGTAGTACAGAAAAAATGACATCGAAAAATATCGAAATAGAAGTTCATTTAACAGAAACTAATTCAAGACTTCCAAGAAGAAAATACTTAAAAAAAATGTAGTATTATTAAATATTTTTATATATGTTGTGCAGAAGTAGTGGCTTTTTAACCTGGCGGTTATCCTAGATATACTACCAATCCCAACTTATTTCAATTAAAATTCACTTTTCTATCAGAGACTTCCGCTGTGTTTACACTGGCTAGACTTTGGCAAGATTTTTGTATACGTTCTCACTTTTTCACCAACCAAATTCAAAAATAACACGTATTCGATATCAAACCAAAAAATCTTCCCGAATTCTAGGTAATGCAGATTCCGTGATAGTTGCGGACCAACTTATTTCACAATCATGATACGTTTTGTAGAATTGTATGGCTTATCTAGACTTTTTAGGATTCTCCGCTGGCCAGAAATTTCTATGTTAGGATATGCCTCAATGCTGACGTTTTTGTTTTGATCCGCAAGGCAGTATAAGATTAGTTTATAACACAAAATCTCGCCCATGATCGCAATGATTTGATTTATTTTTATTTGAATACTTAAGGTTTCTCTTTTCGTGATCTATACAATCAACCCTCATACTTTAAACACAATTTCCATTGATTTATTTCTAACTTTTTTAAATACAAGTTAATTATATAAAGAGCAGTTAGAACCGATGAATCTCTTGGTTGTTACTTTTTAACCCTGTCTTTATATTTCTGCTACTTCTGTACTGAATGGTTCCAATGAACTTGCACTTTATTCTAGATTATTAGTTTAATATAATTTATTTAGAAAACTTTGTTTTGATGCGGTCAATTCTGAAAAGAAATGCAGAGAAAAACTAATTAACGCAATACCAATTAACATTTTATTTTAAAAATGATCAATAAACATCATCTACTATGACTGAGTAATTAAGCAATTGTAATAAAATGATAATAAAAACACAAATAATTGCTTTAATAAAATAAAATAAAATAAAATAAAATAAAATAAAATAAAATAAAATAAAATAAAATAAAATAAAATAAAATTAAATAAAATAAAAATAAAATTAAATTAAATTAATAAAATAAAATTAAATAAAATAAAATAAAATAAAATAAAAATAAAATAAAATAAATAATAAAATAAAATAAAAATAAAAATAAAAATAAAATAAAATAAAATAAAATAAAATAAAATAAAATAAAATAAAATAAAATAAAATAAAATAAAAAAATAAAAATAAAATAAAATAAAATAAAATAAAATAAAATAAAATAAAATAAAATAAAATAAAATAAAATAAAAATGATCTATAGATTGAAACATATCCCTTGACTGCATTGAATAATTCAATTGAACTTCATATGTCTTTTTACCTTTCGAGGTAGAAGTTTATATAACTGTTGTTATTAAACAAATTAACAATCTGTTATCTATCCATTTTAAATTACGTCAAAACAACACTCTTCATTTAAGAATAATTTTAAAAAATTTTATTTTTAATTATAAATTTTAATTAGAAATAACAACCGCCAATTAAATTTAAAATTCGACTAAAAACTGTTGCACTTTTCTCGAAATTTTTACATATTTTCTTTTCATTTAGTTAATGCCATGTCTTAGTCAATCAATAGAAATATTTAAATATTAAATAATTATTTTCTCAACACTTCCATTAATCAATAAATACCATGTCAGTACAAATTTACATCGAAAACGTCAATTATCACACTGCAATTCGTACAAAACGCTGAGTATCTTTTAAATGACAGCCACCAAATTTGTAAGAAATTAGCGATACTAAGTGGAACTTGGGAAAGAGCTTAAGTTGCATTAAAATTACTTAAGATACACACTATGACAACCAAATCATTTGTTGGGGAGTGCGAAGAGTATTTCAAATTACTGACAAACTACAAACCACATTTCACATTTACGCTGGGTTTGCATTTCGCAGATGCATGGCCTGCATCAAGAGCATTCGGCATACGTCAAATGCATTAATTAAGTCAATTATGAAATTTATTGACAAATTCAACTGCAAAGATAAATTTACTCAAAACTCACGTATTTGCGATAATTTGCACTTAAAATATTCCATGCAAAATAAAAGAGCAGCCACAAAAAACAATGCTTGATTGGCATATATCAAATATCAAAAATCAAAAATCAAATAAAATTATTATTAACATTATTATTAAACTATTTAAAAATACTCAAAGTATTTAAGCAGAAATAATTAAAATAATTCAATTAACTGCTATTAAAAAGTATTTAATGTATTTATTATATTATCAGTCGAAATGAGACTCAATGAGATGGCTTTTAATTGCATTTTAATTAAAATGAATTACATAAATAATTATTTTTTTTTTTATATATTTCAGTACTTGAACCGACCTTTCCATATCGTGATGTGACCATAAAACGCGGCGTTGATGCAAACGAACAGTTTGAAATACTCAGCGAAGTTGGCAGGTTTGAAATAATTTTAAACATCGTTTTGATGCAAAATGATTTGCAAGAAATTATTTACTTAATCTTTAATCTTTTAGAGGGAAGTTCGGCACAGTCTACAAATGCAAAGAGAAGTGCAGTGGCCTTAAATTAGCCGCAAAGTTTGTGCCCATTCCTAAGCGTGAAGACAAACGAAATGTGGAGCGTGAAGTAGAAATAATGAATTCCCTACAGCATCACTTGATAATACAGCTCTACGCCGCGTTCGAGTACCAGAAGATGATGTGTGTTGTGCTGGAATTGTAAGTCAAATAATTAACAAAAAAAAATTTTTCACTTCTATAGATAGAATTATCCACACCTATTTAACACAAACAGAGAGAGCTCAGCTAACTGAGCATTTCAACCACTGAAAATTATTATTCAATCTAATTAAAATTCATTGGATCGATTCCATAGAGGTTTATGTGATAAATTAGACATACTCGAAATAGATTAATGGCAAGTCAACGTTATTGTAACATGAAAAACGAAGACTTTATTCCTAGTAATCTTGTTGGTATAATTAAATGACCTTGACCTACATATTATTCATTGTTTTTAGTTACAATTTTACACAGGTAAAATAAGTAAATATATATTTTATTAACAAATCGTTAATGTATTAAATTTTATCAAAGCAATTTTATAACAGGATTTTCAAAGTCAGGGCTATTCAAACTAGATGCGATCGCGGCCCAATACAAATCACTGAACAGATTAAAGGTTCATAAATTCATAGCTTCATAACTAAGAAATTTATAGTTGTTTTCGACAAAAATAGATATACGGCTATAATGTTAAATTTCTCAATTCAAATTCATTTATTTGGTGTTCACTTAAAATGAAATAATTTAGTTTTATTATTGCACCAAAAAAAAATTTGCGTAATTGTAGTAGATTAAAATAGTATTAGATGTCGCGGATCGCACAAATATTACCCGTGGGTCGCATATGACCCGCGGTCCGTGATTTGGACAGCCCTGCTCTAAGTCATTATGACGATTTAGCAATCAGTTTACTTACCAAGTTACTGAGTGGACTCGGAGGTGTGACCTCAAAGCCGATTTCGACTAGGCTTATAGTTTTTATTGTTTAGAGTCTAAAAACGCAATGTATAAAAAGGAAAACAAATAAATATATTATTTAAAATGTGTGTTAAATATTCTAAAATATATGAATTTTATTAAGTAATAACCTTAAAAATATATATATCATCCACTAAATATAGTTACTAATTAAAAATTCTATTTGATCTGTAGAGTTGAAGGTGGTGAACTTTTCGATCGTGTGGTCGACGATGAATTTGTACTTACAGAACGAGTATGTGTAGTCATCATTCGACAAGTTTGTGAAGCTATGGAGTTCATACATCGAAACAATATACTTCATTTGGATCTCAAGCCAGAAAATATATTATGCCTCACTCAAGAGGGCAATCGCATTAAAATAATAGACTTTGGCTTGGCACGAAAATTTGATCCTGACAAAAGGTTGCAAGTAAGTAAATAAAATAATTCTGTATCATTTATAATTCTACTGTAATATAATATTTTCTTAATTAATTTATTCATTAATTTATTTAAAAAATCAGTTTATACTTTTAAACTGCTTTCTGTTTTAAGCATAGCATATATTTAAGTATATTTTCTACTATTCGTACACTTAATGTTACTTTAATTTGCGGTATTGTTGATATGTATCTGATACAACCGCAGTACTTGGGAGTACAGTTAAGCATAGTTACTTGTTTCTTCAAAATTAAAGTTCATTAGCAATAAAAACCGAATTAAATTTTAACTTGGAAACATTTGAACACGCAAACAAACAGACAGACAGACGGAAAGACAGACAATTATATGTCGAATTACTTCTTGAAACGAGCTGTTAATATGCTTTTTTAATTACAGCTTTTTCTGTTTTTAATTTGTTTATTTTCCTTTACAGATTCTTTTCGGTACTCCCGAATTCGTCGCTCCGGAGGTTGTGAATTTCGATTGTATCTCATACGGCACGGATATGTGGAGCGTCGGTGTTATTTGCTACGTGCTGTAAGTACCCATGTACCCATGTTATTCCATACAATCTGTTTTATTTACGCTTTTATAATTAGAAATTTCTTCTAAAATTGAAATATAAATGCACCAAAGAAATAGGGTGTGAATATTAAATGAGAAGATATGCGAATTATAAGATTGTGTGCATGTGTCCTTTTTAACTAAATTAAAATCTTAAGAAACTACTAAAATATTGTGTATAGATACTTTAATTTTCAATTAAATCACTTCTCTTCTAAATTCAGTTACTTAACATATCTCAAGGTATGGAAGATTAGGTGCTTCAACGACTGTTATTAGTTTCTGCATAGCAAAGTTACTTACGTTTTAATTTAGTCATTTTATCTAATTTTTTGTTTTTAGTATTCAAGTTCTTGTCCCAATTAAAATAATTTTAATAAAAGAGAGTGCAATTTCTTTTACAGAACACTCTTTGTATACAAATTAAGGAATTTCTCTTTTATTAGAGAAGAATTTCATTAAGTTAATTTCTAAGCATTTATTTTTCTTTTATTTTTCCCAAATGCACATTTGCCAATTACGTGAACAATATCTTAACAACAATGATGCTGCCACTGGTGTTGCAACAATTACAAAAAAAACACAACAATTCCAAACAACAATGCCAACAACAACAACGACGACGACGTCAACGACAACATTAAAATTGCAATAACAGTATTTCAGGACTTTCACCATTTATGGGCGAAACAGACATAGAAACAATGGCAAATGTAACAATTGCCAAATATGATTTTGAGGATGAATCCTTTAGTAATGTTTCCCCTGAGTGCTTGGATTTCATAGCAAAATTATTAGTAAAAGACTTAAGGTAAGCATTAATTGTAAAAAAATAATTCTCAATTCTATGTAGTATTTGTATCTTCAATGTACCTACGTACTTATTCAAATTTATATAAATTAAAAATATTTTTAATTAAAAGATGAAAAAATCCTCAACATCATTTATTTTAGTAAAGTAATTAAGTCAGACATTGAAACTGTCCTCATTACAAAGTGGGCTGGCTTACTTCTGAATTTCATATTTTGGTTTTATTGAAGTGGAACTTAAGAATAAAGTGCTAGCTACCTGCAATATAAATGTATACACAAAAAAGTGCTACTTAACTGCACAAAGAATTTAGAATAAATATTAAAAAATTTTAATGTGTAACCTGTGTAAATATTTTTAACTTTTTAAATTTTAAATATAGTTTTATATATTATATTCAATATGAAAAAATAAATATAATATAAATATCATTTATATATGAATTAAATATTATTTTGTAAGAAAATAAATAAATGCAACAACGATTAATATTCCTATCTATAGCATACGTTTAACGGCCGCACAATGTTTGGAGCACACATGGTTACAACGTAGACCCAAAACAAGTCCTAAACTGTCACCGAAAGCAACAAATATATCAGCAACAAAACTTAAGGCTCCCACTCCATCTCCAATACTAGAACAAAATGATTCGGAAGATGATGAAGAGGAAAGTGAGCATGAAAATAACGTTGAAAATTTAGTTGAAGAATGTAGCGATTTAATGGCAGAATCCAATATCAATGAAACTATAGATGAGGTAATTACATTTTTTAATCATTTCAAATACGTTTATATTATTATAGGTGCTATTGATTAAGATGAGCAAGTGAATTATAATTGATTTTTATATAAAATTATATTTAAAAAATAATTAAACTTGGACATAAAAATTTTAACTTATTTCTAAGAAAATGATGCTAATATCTTAGTAGAGAAACTCGATTATTTCAATTATAGGATTGGTTTGAGTAAGCTACATTAAACAATTGATTATAATCACGATACTATTAGGACATTAACTGTTCCATCATGATACTTTTACAGTAGGATATATTTCGCTCATCCCTATTTCTTATTTTGATTTTTTAAGGAATTTTGTTAACTTCTCTATTGCGGTGTTAACAAGAAACATAACATATGTACCGCATTCTATCGCATTCCTATATATTATATTCATAAAGTTCTAAGAACAGAACAGTGATATAGTACGCTGTTCTTCCTCCTCGTAAGTTCTTCAACCTAGACAAGGCAGTTTCAATAAAGGTCAATTAATTGGGCTCATGGATTGTTATTTATTTCATTACTTAGTTCTTTATTTATTATTTAGTTTAATTATTTAGTTTGTCATTATCTTCAAAAGAAGAATGTTTATAATTTAGGTTTTTGTGATTGCTTCAGACTTTTATTGAAACTGTCTTGTCAATGAGGAAGAAGAACGTGTAACAACTTACTTTTTTACTGTCCTGTTCTTAGAACTTTAAGAATCAGTAATTACTGACTCAATTAGTGTAGCAGTCCTCTTAAATCTGTTTTTTTGTGAATATGCCTTATACTCCGTTCTACTAAGTAAAAGTAAGAGACTGTCTATATAATAGAAGACCGATGATTTTATTTTAATAGTAACAGCAAATCTTTAAAGTATTTTTTCTAGTTTCTGCGAAAACTAATGTGAAAATATATCAAATTTATAATATTAACGTTTTATATAAAATTTAGCAATCCAGTTTTAAATTGCTATAGCTAAAGGATATGCAAATATTGAAAGTCCTTTACTTCGGTTTACTATTCCAGCTTCATACAACAAATATATTGTATTCACTTTCACTTTATTCTCATAGCTGAAATTCTATGAGTTTTCGTTATTTGTTTTCCTTCATTTCACAAACTATTTAACTCAATTTTTCCGCGAAAATGCAACAAAGGATATGCTTTAGATATTTACGAGGATATTTAAATTTTAAAATGCCACCACAACAATGAGAGGCAATGGCGGAATGGCGGAATGGCGGCGGAGTAACTTTACTGAAATAAATTAATCCGCTTAAATGCAGTGGCAACAGTTCAGTTCTAATTAAATTTTCCCTTCTTCGCTATTTAATTTGTTGTTAAAAGAATTGCTTTAACTGCTTACGGAGACAGTGGAGGAGGTTGCAAATTTTAATATATAAAATAAAATATTAACCAACAATTTTATTTTTTATTAAATTAATTTTTTAATTTCATTTTAATATTAAGTTTGAAGGATTGTTTTTTCAAAACTTACTGAAGCACCCCCTGAAAAGCACTTCAACTACGCTCCTTTTTAAGAGATGTGAACAGGACCAAGTTTTGTGGAAATTTAATAAACTTCCTTATATGTAGCCAATTTGAGTAGCTCCAGTGTAACTGCTTCACAATTACCCATTTTCTACCTAAATAATTGCAACTTTCGCATGAAATATTTTCATAATTGTTAAAGTATTTTATGAAAAAAATTCTAAATTAAAAGAAATTTCATCGTGGAAACCAAAATTAATTTCTAAATTAAATTCGTGATGAAGCGAGTGCTGATATTCCTATTCTAAGAAACTGAATAATGCTTGAGTTAATTTTATTTAAGCAATTACTCTCACTTATATATATTATTAATAAATTTTATTTATTTTATTTTATTTTTAATCTAAAATACACAAAGTAATAATTGATTATTCCTCCCTCTTCTAATGTTAACGGATTTGTTCTGTTGACTTTTTATAAACTTTATTGGCTATTTTTCACTTTTTTTATTTCATTTAAAACAACATAGTACACATAGCATATAGTATTATTTTAATATGCTTTAGAATATTTCTTATAGACAATATTGGTTTTTCTAAAAATAATAGCAGTTTGTCTGTACTATCATTGTGCTTTCTCATGCCTTCAAAATAATATATAACGTAAATAATTACGAATTGTCATCGACTTCTATTAAATATAAGTCTGTTCTCTGTTCTCCACATAACAGAACTGGGTCTGTTCTGTAACCACATAATCACATATGAATGCCAATTGATGTTAAAAATTATTGTCAGATAAACATTTACAATATATAAAATATCGCCCTACTTATATTAATCTAGTGTGCACATTCTTCTCTTGAATGAACAGAGCTGGAACAAAAAAGATAGATGCAACGTTTAAAATAATAACTTTATGTTATATCCATTATTCTGAAAACTTAGTCCTGCAAAATAAAGTTTACCATACATATTATAAAGTTAAAGTACATTCTATAAATTTCCTTACAATTAGACTTGTTTTAAGTTCTTTCCTATATTTGCACCTAAAACTTTCATTATCGGTTTTTTAAATGCCTTTTGTAGATAATATAGGTACTATCACTAAAACTTATCACTATTTTTTCTTTTTTTTCTTTTTTTTCTTTTTTTTTACAAAATAGACAAAAGAATTGGACACGACAAAAGACAATCTTAAGAACTTCATAGAGCGTTGGGAGGAACATCCCAACAGCCCGTATGTGTTCGATGTAGAAGCCAATGTCATTGCGCCACTGAGCGAGACACCATACAAGAAACCACATGCAGCCGACAGCGTAACATCCTCACGAGGTAGGTACTATCGTAGAGCCCAAAGAGAACAACAACAACAGCAACAACAACAACAATTAATACTTGGCAAATAGTTTAAGAATTTTATTTAATTTTTAAGTACTTTTCTTAACGCTCAAAGTGTGACTAATCTTTACTTTACTACTTTTTTATTGTATTGAAATAAGTGTTGTTGTGTAGGAATGCAATCTTGTTTATTTAATTTTTTCGTTTTGTTTTAATTTAATTGTTGTATTTATTTTTAACACTGACAGTCTATTTTATTATAGTTTATGTATTAATTAATAAGCCTGAATTTTTACTGTGATAAGCAAACCAAAGAAACGAAGCAGAAATAATAAATGAAAGAAACAATAAGAAAGGATATAATATTAAAATACAGATATTAAAAATATAAAATTTATTACTTCTTATTTTTTTTAATATTTTATAAAGCATGTTGAATTTACACATCTCTCGTTAACGATCTTATCTTATCCTATCTAGAGTGGTTTTCACGATCACGAGTAACGTCCTCGGTAACCGACGGTTAACTTATTCTTTATGTAATGCATTTATATTAAATACAGAAGCTGGCGACTTCTGCTTGTCATGGCTTGCTGTTGTAGCCAGCGACGGTGGCTTCATCGTATATTGGATAAAGCACTACGAACCGAAAACATCAAAATGCATTTATTCGATTTGATGTATTACTAGTTTACCCGGTTACCGAAATTGTTAATCGAAATTGTGAACGCTACTTATATCAAGTACTTTAATTCTTCCATCTACATTTGAATACTTTGAACGGATAGATGTATACTGAAGACTATGATTCTATGTATATCGATATATCTTCCAGATATAAAAACACTATAAACCGTGATATACACATTATAGGAATACGGTTTTATTAATATCGCTTTACTTAAATTTTTTCCAATGTACAAGATCTACAATACATACTGTATTCCATTTTATTTTATTAAAAGTTTACAGTACTTTCAAAGTTTATAAGACTTTTTTGAATGAAATCTTCACTTTTGGTTAAGAAAACTTACCTTGGAGCACTGTTAACTCCTAGAAGCTCCTTTTCATTAGATTTTGTTTTATATTTACTGTATGTAATGCGTGAATGTTACGTATTTAAATCCTAATATACTCATATTTTTAAATTTAATGAAATCCTTAGAGTGTTGAACTTTGCAAAGAGTGTTATATAGAATTTTCTATACATTTCTTTAACACATTCTACTCTTGTCTCTTGCAAAGAAAATCAGTGAAACTAAAAGATAATCTTGATATGAAGGAGCATTGATTGCAAATAGCCGCTTAGAGCAAGGATATGTTCTACTTTTCACTTTCAGCTTTTAAACAATATGTATAGATACATTTGCAGTATTTAGATACTTTTGTATTTTATAACTTGTACATCTTTACCTCAGCCGCTTTAGTATTTTACATTTATTCGTACATCGGCATATGCAACTACAATGTAACCATATAGCCAATGCAACATATTACATACTCGTACATTCATATATCTGCAAAACATCGGTACATATACAATGTATGAGTATATATGCAACAGTTGAAAGGAAAAATTTCAAAGGTAAGCATACCTTGGCACTTGTTGAAACATTCTCATTAGTTGGCGCACAATTCATAAAAGTTCCATCAAATCCATTACATTGTGCTGTTGACATTTTATAATTTTTTTTATTATTTGAACTTTCGTATATAAAGATTTCAGAAAGATACTCGTATATAATACAATCGCACATACAAGAAGTAATTTAAAAAAATAAACCATTACAATTTTTCAATTAATTTGCAAGGAGAAATAGATTTATGCAGTGAAGAAAGAAGTACTACTTAGATTTCGTAGCACTTTTGTGATTTAAAACTGCACTAAATAGCAGTTTACAATGAAAATTCTGAGCGACAAACTCAATTTTTTTTGTAATTTATTAAAAATTTTGCTGGCATTCTCTCTATCTCTCAGGTCTCTATCTCTGACTCTTTCAGAATTAAAATATAAATATAATTTTGATATGAATTATGATACATTGATTATATGCAAATATTACCATATACAATCAAAACTATTGATGAATTATTGAAACAAATGTTAAATGATAATTTTATTCCAATACTCGACTTTTGTGGCACCTACTGAGGCAACTTTAATTTGTAGTACGTTTTTGCATGCTAACCACAAAACATCCGCTCCTCATGAATTTTATTCTGGGAGGGGCAGTGAATCTAAAAAAACTGCTTAGTATATTACTCAGTTATATTCATTGCAATCACACATCACATATTTGCTTTCAGTCATACATACATACATGGTTACAAAAATGCATACATACATACCTGTACATATATACTTATAAGAAAATTGAATAATATAACCCCAATTTATTGTTTTTATTCGTATAAGCGAACTAATAATAAGCTATGTGCTTTGTGCTTGCTTTTAATAATAATTTGTGTCGCCCACGCTACTCAATTTTTTGATTTAGTTCATTTAATGCAGAATGTAATGCAATATTTTCACTTCTCTCTTTCCCTCTCTCTCTCTCTCACTCTATCGATCTTTTTTTTTTAAATTACATTAACATCTTTCTATATTTCCAATAGTTTGCTCGCCATCACCGTGTGAATCGATAGGTACTATAACAGATGATGATGTCTTCGGCAGCAACGACGAAGCAAACAATAACAACAGTGATAGTCCGAGTACGGTGGCTACTCCAATAAATGAATCCCGTGAAAAGATCTTCCCTCTCACAACTCAAACAACAGTAACAAATCCAGCTTCGGATTCAGCTACGCCGACTCCAACGCCGCAACATACCTCACAGCATGTATTCGCGAACAACTTTGACGAGTTTGGCAGCGAAAACCTACAACAACGCAGCATTAAGAGTTATTTACATACATTCGACAGACGTAATTCAGATACAAATTATCTGACAGGCCGCCGCTCATCTGGAGAGCGCGTTAATTTAGCAGATGAAATACGCAAGCTCTCTGATCATTTACTTATGTTAGCTGAAATTAACACGAAATTCGGTGGCGAAACCAAGAAGGGAAGCACTTCCAAAACGAGTGATAGCAACAACAATAAAACTGAAAGTGTTAAGTCAACACATAAAACAAAGACTAGCACTAAAGCAAAATCAAGTAGTATAACAGCAATCAGTAAAACATTTTCGAACAACACCATATCCAGCACATCTACTGGATCCACTTCAGTCAATACTTTTTCAGCCATCAATAGTCATAAAGGTGATAACATCTCAAAGATTAGTAAAATATCTATGCGTTTACAACAATCTATTGATGAAACACCCACACTTACCAATGGCAAGACTACAACCTGGAAGAGTAGCAAAACTTCAAGTGTGAGCACAATGTCAACCGGTAACACTACAACAAAATCGCTTACTTCAAATACTTCGAGTACGTCCTCTGAGTCGGCCAGCACGCGACGGGCCAAATTTCGTATAAATCAAATGAGTCGGGATGTACCCATTGGGTTGCCCAATACACATCAAGCTGTGAATCTAGAAGAGGCAGCAAATACTACTAAAGATTGTCTATTACATTTACTTGAGAAATATAACGAAACGAAATGTCGTAACCCAATGGGTCGTCACCAAAGCATCAGTGTTGACTGGAATGTAAGCGATAATTTGGAATATCGGTCTATGAGCTCCATAAACGCCTTCTTTCAAAGACATAATAATTCACAGGAAAACGTTAGACTATTACAGGCACAGCTAGAAGGTAAAACCACAGCGACGGGGAAAACAAATGGTTCATAGAAATTAGAAATTATAAATTGTGTTAAACTTTTTTGTTGAGGTTCCTCATTTTGAAAAATTAATTTAATAATTTCTTTTTATTTGTTATTTATTTATTTATTTGTTAAACTGTAGATTAAACAATATAAATTCAATTTATTAGCACTGGAGTATACTCTCATTTGTATAAAGATTATAAAATATATAGAACTCTGACGTGCAGTTTCTGCACCATTAACTTTTTAATTATTTACTGTATAATGCAAACAATTTAGTTAAATAAAATTATATTAAAATAATTTATAATATATATCTATAAATTAATAAAGTAATATTATATAAATTTATATCGAATGCGTTTTTAAAACTGGTGAAAATTTACTTGTAAAGGAACATTTGACACATTGTGTCCTTTTGTTTTATTAGTTAATACTTAAGGATACTACTTTAATAAAATAATCTATTAAACAATTTTTATCAAATAAAAAGTGTTTAAGTCTATATACACATACTTATCAAGTATAAAATAACTTTATTATTATATACTATTATTATATATTATATATATTACTATATTATTATTATATAGAAATACTTTTAATTGCATTCTAAACTCTAGGTAATTAGACAATATATTAGTAATACTTAACAGTCTGACTGATATCTTTCTTTAATTAGACTGTTTAACTACTCTCACTTCATTTTATGAACATATTAATGATATTCACGATAATTTTTTATACAGCGTCAACAACAATATAAATGCAGTTATTGTTGCCTAGTTTTTATGTTACTCTACCATATAACTAGGTTGTCAAGCTTGTTACTCAACATCGTAAACACCGCTATTGTATAAAAAAAGGTAGGATAAAACACTGGATTGATTTTAAAGTTAATGTCGGCTTAAGTTATCATAGTCTAGTAAGAATTTTGTATAAACATGTTTTCTGGTTTACTTATATCCTAAACTTAACATATACTTCAAATTTTAAGCCAAAAGTTGTAAATATATCACTTATAGCTTGTTTTTTTTTCATTATTAAAATGTTTGTTACCGAGAAATAAACCATATTTTTGGGGCCTTTCCAGACCTTTACTAATATATTATTTTCTATGATATTACAATAACATAATTATTTTTGGAAGCAAAGTTACAAGTACTTTTCTGGATTTTTAATCAATACACTCAGTACTTAACTGAGTATGATACACATAACATTTATAACATAAAACATTTAAAACATAAATTTTTCTATTCTTTGTTGTTTAGAGGTACATACCTTGAGTTTACGTCTTTGTTAAACACCCAGTACATATAAATTACATATATTTTTAACGCATTTTTGTAATTATAATAATTACATAATTTAATAATAATTTAAAATCGTCGACTCACTTTTTTAAATACAATCTATAAAATAGTGTATAATTACGTGAAATGCAAATCTATGAATAATCATATTATAATAGCCAATTATTATAAACTAACAAATTTTAACAAACATTTTTTTTTCTAATTGACTAGGCATAATTTCTTAATTACATATTTTCCATTTCTTCTCTTAAAATCCCAAGCTATACTTATATATAATAACAAATATTCTTAAATATAAATCTATAAAAAAATTATTGTTTTGTTGAATTATTGTTTTTGTTTCTACTATAAAATATACATCAAAATACGTTACGGCTCCCAACATAATTGAAGTAAATTGGAAGAATCTTTAAATCGAGCATCCTGCAAAAGAAAGCATAGTATTACAATTATAAAACATTTAAGTATACAGTGAAAACCTTGTTAAATAGACTTCTTTTGACCATACAATGTTACTTGTCTCCAGTTATCATACCCTATTAAAATATATTCTTTTATATCGGACAGATCTTTTAACTGGGCGGAGTAGCTTTTTCCAACAGTGACTGCTTAACAGAGTTTTCACCGTATATATATTTTCAAATAACTTATGTGCAGTACCAATGTCTCAAAATATATACCATTTATATATCAAATACATACAAAATATTTAACAGAAAAAAATTTCGAATTTAATACAAATAATTACAAATGTTAATTATATTTTTTCAAGTTTTCATTTCAATATTTCTGATTTTTTTTTTTTAATATGAAACTAATTTTAAAAAATATAATTAAGCAACCACGATACTCTATTTTTCATATTTTTTTTTTTTTTTTTTAATTTTAGAAAATGCAAAGAGCGTAACATTTGACAGGCACATTTACGTATTTTTATAATTTAATTTAATTACCTTCAGAATGTCAGCTTTCACACTTGTACCGTGTAAACGAATTGTAAGGGGAAGAGCTCTCTCCAACATCTCTTGTCTTAATAATTTTATTACATCAAAGATAAAACTGTTGTTGATTTGTACACATACTCTGACATCGAGGATTTTTAATTTTTTAAATGTTTTAAGTAAGCAAAATAAGCCAGAACTTGTCGCTTCCGAATTTACAAATACTAAATGCTCCAGGTTCTCCAAAGTGCATAGTTCACGCAGACATTCGTCACTGATATCACATATTATGCACGAAAGTAATTTCAAACCTCTCAAGGAAGATATACATTTCGCTGCCTCATAGTTAATAAATCCACCAACTTCTATGTATAAATGCGTTAACTGTTCTGTTTTATACTTTGATAGTGCAATGAAGAGTGGTTCGCGTCCAACGGCATCTGGAAAAGTGTGTGCGGAAATAATAGTCAAATGCGTCAGTTTGGGCAACTGAGCAACACTTTTGTTATTGATATTATATTGTATGCTAATACACAGATTCTCCAGATTCGGACAATATTCTACCATCTCATTAAATGCAGAAGTCGTCAGACGTGTACACATTTCAACATTTAGTTTTTTTAGTGATTTCAATGCCTTACATACGTTCACAAAATGTACTGATTGTAAGTTCATACAGTAACTGAGATTAAGCTCTTCCACATTCACCATTTCATTCAAATATTTTCCTAAGATAAATAAAATTTAATTTACATGAACCAAAGTGTGTACATAAAATGTGAAGTAAACACAATTTTCCTATAAGATAAAAGGCTAAAAACAAACTTAATTTGATAAAATTTAGCTTCCGCTTTGTTTTTTTTTTTTTATTTTACTTAAATTACTTACCAGTTAAACGTCTATTTCTTCTTAAGTTGAGACACTTAAGCGTAGTCAATTTTCCCAGTAATATAATATCTTCATCTTCTAAGGTACAATTCTCACAGACAAGTTTCTGTAAATATTTATGATGATGAAGAGTATCAAGAACGGATGTTAGTTTGGAGGAAATCTCAATTGAATCGAAATAAAGATATTTGATATTTTTGCAAGCCTCTAAAATTTGCTTTAAATCAAAGGCAATATCAAAGTAGCTTAAGCTTTCAATATAAGCACCAAATGTATTTAAAAATATGCATATTTCATCAAATGTTAGGCCCATCAATTGCTCCAATTTAAATTCCTTGTACTTTAATGCAGAACACATTTGCACCACGTTAAAAATGTATTTTGATGTAGCCGCAAACCGCAACTGATCGACGAGTAACAAGTTTTTACATATATATCTAAGGCAGTCTTCGTTCAAATCCAAAATCGTTAATTGACACATTGTTACATAAATTTCAGTTTAAAATTAAATTAAAATTAAATTAAAATGAATTTTATTTAAATTATTTATCTAATTGTTTTGTTTGAGCAAGTAAAAATGTTTCTTCAGTTCAGCTCGGCAGTCAAGAGTGTACTGGACGGATGAGTCAACAACTAAGTTGCGATTAGGCAAATAAACAAATAATCTGAAATCACAATGAGAACATAAAAATGTAATTAATTTTGAGTGTAAGAGAAAGATAGTAAAAACTTACTATATAAGGCAAAAAGTGTAGCTGGAAGAATTTTCAAATTTGAATTTAAAAAAGAATTCATTAGATATCAGTAATTATATCAGCAGTGCCAACAACAATATACGTTGAAATTAGATAAGTTAGCAAAACAATGGTTTGTTGATAAATCGTTGTTGATATATAATTTCAACGACATTTTTACTTATAGCTTCTTCGCTTTACTCATATTAATAATATTTATAAATAATGTTTACAAATCAAAAGTAAAATATTACAAAAAATACATTAATCAAACAAAATTTGTATTTTTAGTTTAATATTTTTATTATGTACGTCATTTGAGTTTATTAATTTCGCACTATGAAGTACTATTTTTGTTAATGATATTTTTGGCTTAAATCTGTTGCTCTGTTAGATTTTTAGATGTTTATATGTTTTATATGCTGCTTTATGTACAATAATCGTTGTCGTAATGATCACAGACCATCTGATCTATAAATAAATAATAAAAAATCTTTGTTTTACACAGAATTAAATATCGTTATAGTACCAATCGATGATATAGCTTAACCTCATTGATGGTGGGTTAATGATTGATAGTAAAGACAGAACATATTAGTCTGCAAATTGATATAGTTAAATAAGAAATTTACAATTTTTTTTAAAGTTTGCTTTATTCTTCAAGTTAATATATTGAACAGTATAATTTCAATATCAAAATCGGTAAGTTTTATGTTACTACTTTTACTCATTTTAAGTAGCTGAGCCACAAATGAGCATCAAATATTTAACTGTGAAGTTTATTAATCAATAACCGAATCGAAAATGTATTTACAATATAAATACGGCTCTTAATATTTACATTAATATGGCATATCAATTTCTTATACATCTATAACATATTTTATAAATTGAATTTTTAATGGCAATCATCGGTGTTATGTGGTCAAAACATTTTATCAAATTTCCCAAATATAATTAAGTAGAATAAATCATTTATCTGAATCGTAGTTAGGTTTTCAATGTTTTATTGCTTCTAGCAATTATTTGGATTTCCCGACTGATATTTCACTTTAATATATTACATTTAACCAACGTTAATTTCCCTGAAGATGACTATCAAAGACAGTCGAAATATTAGAACAATTATTTTTAATAATAAATAAATAATAAACTGTTTTTAAATATAAATAATAAATTATAGTGTTTTTATTTCTATTTAAATTGACCATTAAGCCATTTATTAAATTATTATTTTACAGCAAATTATTATTGACATTCAGAAACGTTACAGCCACTCTGACCAACAGATTAAACGTTTTTATTTTTAGAAACAATTTTTTCTTTGCGACACGTTGTCCAACTGCACCATCAATTAAACGCATTGCCTCTACATTACTCAAATACGTTATTAATTATTATTTTTAAAACTATAAAATATAAAAACTATAAACTATTATTTTTCATATTTACTCATGAAGTGCATAAGTCACCATGTAACCAATGGAAATAATATGGTGAGTGGAGAATAACATCAAGTAGATTGAGTATAAGGAGTATAAACGCTTTTAATAACATAAAAGATGGCATTATCTCTTTGGAAATGTATTCAAAAATTTATTTAGGAATAAACGCAAAACTAAACATAACATGTACAGTATGAATTCCTGCAGTGGATGGAACAATCGAAATTAGAAATAAATGTGTTTTTATTATTACGTTTTACTATTAAGTATTTTTATTATTATTAATTATTATTGTTAACAATTATATAAATCGCACTTACAAGTAATCTAATCCAATTTGTATAAAAGACCTTCGTTTACAAGGCGCAATGCTATAAAATGGCACAAACAATAGATTTCTCTATCAACGCAAATAACTATTGTAAATTATAACACTATACATTATAAATTTGAGAATTGTATTAAAAAAATATTCCTAACTACATGAAATAATAGTTGAATGGTTATATTTAGGCACATATTCACAATCTTTTAAGGCCGGCAAAACAATAACAAACGAATAACAGCTGATTTTGAAGGGACTGCTTAGAATGAAACATAATAAAAAACTAAAACAAACCGGGTATTCAAATCAAAAATGTAGTTTTTGATTCTGACCATAAATTTATTAATATCTCTTGGCCTTCCAGTACATGAAATTATTAAATCTGTTCCACGAGCTGCTCCTAGTAAAATTCAAGTAAAACATAAGTAAAGTACATACTGAGAGCTTAACATAAATAAAGTGCCAAATTACGCTCCTTACACAGATTTTCATGGAACATTACAAACATTTAAATCTAAACCAAAACAGCACACATCACACAAATTTTACTTAAAAAAAAGTGCGAGTAAAGTCTGTGTAGCATTTTCAAATTTTAACAGCGATGTAACGCTCTCTCTGGTGCTCTCATTTACTCGAAAATTTGGTGGAACGCATTTGTGTATACACACTGTTACTCAAAGTTACTACGAGTAGCTCGTGGAACAGACCTATAGTTGTTAAATAAACACGTTTATGTAATTAATGATTTGTAGAATTTGATACTGAAAAACTGCAGAGTCGGTGAATTTATAATTTTATTAGTGTTGCGACTTGAAGACGGATTTTAATTAATTTTTTATCTTGCGAATTCTCAAATTGCTGTATCCAGAAAATTATTTCATAAAAAAATCAATGTTTTTGTTAAATATGGTATATCTGGTATATATCATTAATATATTTTAATATTTGAATTTCAACACTTTTCAGAATCATCCCTGTATTTCTGTTTTGAATTTAATTTAATTGACGATTTAACAACACTGTTTCCTTTGTTTACACCGAGTAACTGAAATATTTTTGTTGTCAGTCAGCACTCCTATGTCAACAGTCGTGATGTTAGATTAAACGCTTGGTTTTAAATAAAATCACTTAAAATGCCTTATAAAAGGTGTTGTATTATGAAATGCCCTATGGGTGAGACTGATTTACATGTATTTCCTTGTGCTGAAAAGGATAAAGAAAGGTAATTATTAGTGTGTTACAAATCGCGCATTAATATATAAATTATTTTTTCTGCAAAATAGAAGACAGCAATGGATGCGTATTTTTGGTTTAAAAACATTGCCTAAATATGCCTATGCATGTAACAGGCATTTTTCTGATAGCATGAAAACGGCGAAACATTTAAAAAAAAAATCTTTTCCGGATCAGAATTTAGAAAAATACTCGTCTTTTACGCAAATGGCTAGCATAAATAAAACACTTGTTGCTTCCACTGACAACAAAGTATGCAGCACATGTTGTGAGGAACCACCAGTAGATGAAATAAATAGCATTGATACGATGGAAGATATTGATATACTTAAAGAAAACCTAAAACTTCAGGAAAAAGAGATTCAATATTTAAAATTGGAAAAAGAGAGGCTTATCAAAAAACTTAAAATTATATACAAAATGCAGAAGGGAATGGCAAACGAAGAGGAACGACCCTCAACTATGTTCAATGCTTTTAACGAAACAACACACATAAACTGGTAGGTACCCTAATTTATTATATTACTTGTCACATACATCAAAATAATAAATTCAACCCCAGCTATGAAAAATTCACCGGAAATGGTTTGATAAATTCTTCTGTGTGTGTCACAAAAAAAGACCATGATAAAAGGTAAAGCACGAAATTACATTAGATTTAATTTCAATCTTAATTTGTTTGTTTTTCTAAGCATAACCAAATGCTGCGCATTGGTGGAGGTAACTTCCGACAAAAAAGTTTACAGTATTCGTTGCATTAGTTGCACCGAAGAATTTCCTATTTGGAATTGGCAAATATTTATGGAACATGAAAAAGAGAAACATTCTCGTCAAGTAATTGAAGAAGCTCATTATAGTATAAATCCAAAATCAAATAACCAAACCAAAGAAAATCCAAATATTGTAAGTTTATATATTACAGTAAGTTACAACATTGTTAAATTGAAATATTTTTCCAAGATTGAATCTGATTCTACGGAAGACGGCAATAGCGTTAACCAAAATAAAGAAAATCCAAATATAATTGTAAGTATGAACATTTTTATTGCAATATTCTAAAAATATCTATATATTTTTAGGTTCAGCATAAAATCGAAGTACAAAATATTATAGAATATCCTTTAACAAGTGATAACGATAACTCCAATAACAATGATGCACATAACTACATCTCCTTGGATTTAAACTACATATCAGAAGAAGAACAAATATTAAAAGATTCTCAAAACATTGAGCCTAAAAGTAAACAATGCAGAGGATGCCTTCAACGATTCAAAAGTCTGAGTTTATTGCGTCGACATCGTTTCTTTTGTAAAAATAAAAGTAAAAAGGTTGCTTGCCATTTATGCGGAAAATACTTTAGTAGAGTATATATATTAACACATATAAAACTGCACGAACAGCCACAATTTAAGTGCAACGAATGCCCAAAAAAGTTTTATCTTAAATATGTCTACGAAGAACACGTAAAAACACACAATAAAGTTTTCCATCACGTTTGTGAATACTGTGGTAAAGTGTCTAAAACTGCAAAAGCCATGGCCGAACATCGTAAATACGCACATTTAAAAGTGTGCAAATGCGATATTTGCGATCTTAAGTTGAGCTCTTTGAGCGCCATTAATAGGCATAAAAAATTTATGCATCTTGCACTTGAAGGCACCAACGATGAACTAGAGGATAGACTAAAAAACAAAAAGTACCCTAAAGTGTTTGACACAAAAACAAAGAAAAACCGTTATGTATGTGACGTGTGTAGTAACACATATGCTTCCTGTAGTGCACTATTAAGCCATAGGAGAAATCTTCACTCTCTCAAACCAAGCGGACTTAAAATATTGAAAAAAACAAATTATAAAAAACATGCGATTAAAGATGATACCACCGAACAAATGAAAGAAGAGAACAAAACTTTTAATAATATCCTTAATTTATTAAATATTTTAGATTAATATTATACTTATACTTACAATTATCCAACCTTATTAGCATATTTTTGTATTGCTTGTACAAAAATGACGTTATTGCTGCCATTCATCGAGTTTATTGCGAATGTAGTGCAAGTAATTTCTGATATCGATATTTTTTTACTCTTTATTTTCTACTCTTATAAGCGATATAAAAAGCATTTCTGAATTATTAATGGAATTCTCTTTACTTAGCCATTTACATGTTAAGCTATATGTCGCCAACCATGTGCCTTGCGGTCTTAAAAGTAACAAGTGTTACTTTGAACCAACTTATTGATTTCTTTTATTATAGTATATAGAATATATATATATACATAAATTACATTAAAAGTCTGCTCCAAACGTTGTTCAATTAAGTACTTACGTAAACATAAAATCTCAAATGTATCGAATATTTTACATTTTTATTGTAGCCTGAAATATTATCATGAATTTATTAATAAATATGATTTTATAAAAGAATACTTATGTGCTTACTATATTTTTTTACATTTATTACTTTACATTTATTACTTTAAATATATTTCAAGGTTTTCTACGAAAATCTTTTGCTATTTACATGCAATTATGATCGAATTGTTTGGCCCGTTAAGGGACTAGTAATTGTATCTTTGCTTTCAGTAGCAAAAGCAAAACATATAACTTAGCAAACGAATAAGCTATTAAGAATTATTGAAGTAATATTTAGTACTATCAAAATTAGTTGCTACGAATTTAAACTAACTTCCATTATATACCTTATGTTTGTCATCTTAATACAGACCGCTGTTAGCCAAGCAATTTCCTGCAACATGCCGCAAGGATGGATATCGATACGAGTTTGTCGATCAGTAATTTATTTTAGTTAACATTTCCATAAAAATTTGGTTCTCAATACTACCTATACCATCCTATACAACTGTATAAAACAAGTTGAATTTTTTTCTAGCTCAATTTACGTCGGGGTGCTAATCTCGTACTAAACAGTTACTCAACACAATCTCTCTATATCCTACTTGATTTTCAGCACGACTTATTACAACCTCATTACCTTCATTTTCAAGGTACTAAATCATATTATTCACCACATTCTGAATTTTTAGAATCCTATATATAATGGAACTTCCATATAATAACTTAATTGAATTACACAAATTAATTATATAAACATTTTTGCTTCTAAATTATATGTTTTATTTTTCAAAATCTTTTAATCGACGTCAAAAATAAAATTGAAACAAATTAACTAATGTTCCAATAGAAGTCCATCCAATTAAATCGTGTAACCTCCAAAATATCTAAAATTTTTAATTTAAAACATTATTTTTTATAAAATTACAAAATATCAAGTTTCCTTACAAATGTAGAACTATTTATTTTATTTCAGAATTCTTCATTTAGTTAAGAATGATCTAAAATATAAAATTTATTAAATTTTTATTCTAGAAGAGTTTATGAAATAGACTTACATTCATTTAGGAATTTTTATTACAGTACTTCATTTTACTTAAAAATAGGAAGTATAAAATGGATTAATTGTGTGATGTAAAAAGATAGATATATACCTCTAATTTTCTAATTGAATCCCATATATACCTATGGGTTATTCACTTATCATTAATGGCGGCATGCATTGTTCATAGTATTAGCGATTCAATCATTTATCGTATCAATTATGGTTTTTCGTATCAATTATGGTTTTTCGTATCAATTATGGTTTTTCGTATCAATTATGGAGAAAAAATTCCTTTAAAAAAAGGTTTAAAAACAGACCCAATTTTCGGCATTATATCTATACTTACCAACAAATCATGATATATATTTTAATATCTCAATAACAAAATTGTGTTATCTTCTTGCAACTGAATATGATCATCTGATCTGAATATTATAAAGTATAAAGCAATGTTTCAACCATAAGAATCTGTTAAGATAATGAAAAGAAGCTATTTTAGTTCACATTGATCAGAAGTGTAAAATATATGTAATATCATATTTATATGGTATAGATTGAAATAGAATATATACCTAAAAGATCCTCTTCTACAAGTTTTTATTTATTCCTCTGAATGAACAATAATTATTTTGTTTATATTACAATAATTATAGTTTTTTCATATAGTTTTAATAACCAACCAAGTGTGTCCGCCTTGGAAGCATAATAATTTTATAATTTATGGAAGAAAATATCTTAAATGAAAGATATTAAGTTATCTAAAGATTTTTTCGAGATTCATAACAAAATCTATAATATAATGAAACGATATATATACCTCCTGAACTATCCATTTAGAGATAATTCTAGTTTTTTCATATATTTTTAATAACCAACCAAGTGTATCCATCTTGGAAGCATAATAATTTTATAATTTATGGAAGAAAATATCTAAAATGAAAGATATTAAGTTATCTGAATATTTTTTTCGAGATTCATAACAAAATCTATAATATAATGAAAATATATATATACCTGAAATATCCGTTTAGAGACAGTTCTAGTTTTTTCATGTAGTTTTAATAACCAACCAAGTGTGTCCGCCTTGGAGGCATAATAATTTTATAATTTATGGAAGAAAATATCTAAAACAAAAGATATTAAGTTATCTGAAGATTTTTTCGATATTCATAACAAAATCTATAATATAATGAAACGATATACATACCTGAACTATCCATTTAGAGATAGTTCTAGTTTTTTCATATAGTTTTAATAACCAACCAAGTGTCCGCCTTGGAAGCATAATAATTTTATAATTTGTGGAAGAAAATATCTAAAATAAAAGATATTAAGTTATCTGAAGATTTTTTCGAGATTCTAACAAAATCTATAATATAATGAAACGATATACATACCTAAACTATCCATTTAGAGATAGTTCTAGTTTTTTCATATAGTTTTAACAACCAACCAAGTGTGTCCGCCTTGGAGGCATAATAATTTTATAATTTATGGAAGAAAATATCTAAAATAAAAGATATCATGATATCTGAATAATTTTCCGAGATTCATAACAAAATCTATAATATAATGAAACGATATATATACCTCCTGAACTATCCATTTAGAGATAATTCTAGTTTTTTCATATATTTTTAATAACCAACCAAGTGTATCCATCTTGGAAGCATAATAATTTTATATTTTATGGAAGAAAATATCTAAAACAAAAGATATTAAGTTATCTGAATATTTTTTCGAGATTCATAACAAAATCTATAATGTAATGAAACGATATGTATACCTGAAGTACCTATGTAGAGATAATCCTAAACCTAGTTTTTATAACCAAGTAAATCCGCCTTGGAAGTATAATATTTCTATAAAATATAAGAAATCAATATCTGTAAGAATATTCAAATGGAAAAGATATGAAGTTTTATGAAATCATGAGAATATTTATTATATAATGTAATATTAAATATAATAATATATTTACCTCAAATATCCATGTTGAGATAATCTTAGTTTTTGATATAGTTTTCATAACCAAATCAATCCGACTTGGGGCAAAATAGTTCTATAAATTGTTAAAAAAAATTAAAATGAAAAAGGTATTAAAAATTTATGAAAACATTTAAATATTTGCAACATTCTATGATATAATGAATATATATATGAACATATTAAATATCTGTAATAGAATATTGTTTATTATTTTTTTGAAAAATTTATATTTTAAAAGAATCATTTCAGAATTTCTCACATTCTTTAGGATTTTTAATTCCACTTTCATAAAGGTTTAAATACAAATAAAGGTATATATGTAATTTTAAAATATTTAAATATTGAAAAAGATTTCTATAACCATTCAACTTTAGGGGATATTCGATGTGACAGAGTTTTTGCAATTTAAAGATATGTCTATAATATTAGTATTTACTTACCTCATTTCTAAAATTGTTTCAAAGGCAATGTAAGTATAACTAATATTACTCCTTTTATTATTTTATTGAGTATTTGGATGCTACAAATAAGACTAATAGTCCTTAACTACGATTATTAGCCAAAAATTAACAAAAATGTTTCCACAAGAATTTTGAAATAAACGCTAGAATTTTTAGAAAAAACAATAATTTTTTATATTTTTATTATACTAGTCAATTTTTTTTCTAAATTTTGTGTTTACTAAGATTAAAATTTTATTAATTTATTCTAAATTAATTCTTTTTTATATTAAATTAGTTTGGAACACAAACAGAAATAACATATTCGTTTGTTGCCAGCGTTTGCTCAAATTAGAATATCTAGAGTTTGTACCAACTTTTTGGTCATCGCTTCAAATATCATATATTGTTAATTGATGAAGAGATGTCTATTTTCACTAATTTGCTGAATATATGAAAAAATCAATAAATCATTAATCACAAAAAAAGAGAATGTGGCGTCATGCAGACTAGAGCTCAATTGGGGCTGACCTCAAATGGGCAAGTACAGTTCCTGCTGCACGTGGACTACGACTTTCATTCCCAAAGATATTAGGCGGAGGTCTTTTAAAAACCTGTAGTAAGACAACCGTCGTCTCAATAGGAATACTGCTTCGGTATGAAGCGCAGAAAGCCATAACTTATGTAGACAGCCCTATATATCTTCGTTGCAGAAAGTGTTAATGTATTGATGATGCTAAGAAAGGGATTGATGTACGAAACAAGGATTGATGGTCTATGCATTGTGGGACCATTTTGTTGTCCATATATATGGAGCAAAAGAAGGAATTGTTTAGCTAATAATTGATTGTGTTCCTTTACAAGAAGCATTTTGCGTTCCGCATGAAGGCAATTACCGTGTAACATACGATGACAGCTAAATGAAGTGCGAAAAGCGAAGTTTTAAAAGTTTTAGAGATTATTACAATGTGTCTCGCAGAGCTGAGATGTCCATACTGGTGCAGCATAGGCAGCAGTATATTACCTCATTGGTTTATAATGAAGCAACATCACAAATCCTGTGGCCAACAGGGCTTTTTTATTTATACTACGAGTATAAGAACAGCTCGCGAATGACGACTACATGCAACAGCTGCATATGCGAAAAGTATAAATTCATCGATTTAAATGGGAAAAGTCAGGAACGTTTCTTTAGAAGAGGAGTAAAAAGGGTGGCTATTTGTTGAGGAAGAGATGAAGATCTCCGTCACTTGATTAAGGTATGCATTCAACTTATTGCACAATACACTAGTGTTCTAGCCCATTACGACACGACTTTTCTCTCAGGAGAGTCGAGAAGTTTGCACATGTAGGGGTTGCTTCAATTTCTTGGGTTTGGACGCCTTCCACATGAAAATAACGAAAGTCGTTTTATCTAAAAGATAATTATAAATCCAACGCTTTGTTAAGTCAGGGATGAATGTTGTGTACAACTGTATAAGGGACTTATATTGAATAGGAATACTTACTTGCAGGCACTATATAAAAATGTTTGTATATACGTTAGTCTTAATCTGAACTCATTTTTCTTATATTCTTTTCGGTTTAAAATTTTTTTATTAAAGTGTCATAGGGGTTTCTCGGCCTACAAAACGATAATTATATCCTTACTATAAAATAAATCAAACGATTTTATTATTTATATATATTTATTTGGATATTGTACAAATTTAAACATGTATACATTCTTTTACAATACTTAAAAATGTTATAATTGATGAGCTAAATTAACTTTTTATAATAAATTATTTTTATAATTATATTATTTCTAGCATTAAACATTTAACATATAAATATTGTACATATAAATATTCGAAACATTTAAAACTAATAAACAATTTTTATTATTGCCATATGCACTAGGCACATTGTAAATTTTTTTTTTAATTTTATTTTGTTCACATTAAAAGCATAATTATTAATATTAGTATTTTATTTATTTAAAATTTTAAAATTTGATTTTGAGATTTGCTAAGAGTATTGTTAATTAAGTAAAATGTTAACATTAAATTGAAAAGGCAAGTTTTAGGATACTTTTAAAATAGTGGAAAAAGCTTATAAATGTCAAATAAGTGTTTGCAAATATTTTAATTATTTACGTATTATAAGAAATTTAATATCAAATTTTTATATAAATAGAAACGGATTGCATAAGTTAAATTTAAGCATTAAAATGGTTTCGCTTTAAAATTTCGATTGCTAATAGACCTTTGAGATATTTAAACTTTATTGTAGCTCAACTTCAGGAACAATCGCTGTCGTATGTATACTCATATCTCCAATTCAACTGTTTGGAATAAATTTTTTTAATAATGTGCTTTAAATCATTGATAGCAAATATATATTGTATTTTTATTATAGAAAAAAAATATATGTAATTTATTAATTAATGTCTTTTTTAACATCTTTAATACTTTTAATTTTATAACTTAAATAAAATTTAATTTTTGTAGTCGACTTATGTATATTTCCAAATCTATTTTTTCGTTGTATTGGGTTTACATTATAATTAAAAATATTTTATAAAATATATATTTCGTTTTATTAAAAAATCTTATTTTTTGTGAAGACCGTGTAGTGATACTGTGCCTGGATGAAAAGCTATTTTATACAGTGAAGACTCTACTAACGAACACTTATATTGAACGGACAAAACTTGGCTGACGATGAGTATCCGCTCAAAAGTCTTGCACTGTATTTGGTTAACGAGAAATATTTTTGTTTAAAGGTTTAAATATTTTAATAAAATAAATATAAATATTTTTACTATATTTGTATCTATGAATAACTATTAGTATAGTTACACACTTTTTGATTTCATTATAAATATTTTTATTTATCAATTTTAATTGACTTTTTAATTGCACCATTTAATGCGTTTTTATAAATAATTTAATAGATATTTCTAAAAACCAGATCTATTTCAGCAATGTTTATATATAGCAATTATTTTAACACAAATTATGTGCAACATATTGATATAACAATATATCTATTACGTTTATTTTTAAGCTTTTATTTCTAAGCGTTTATATCGTTTTTTTAATTACTTTTCGATCAATGGACTAATAGAATAATAGAATAGTCCGAATTATTTAAAAATATGAAAAAATTAAAATATTAAACTTAGTTATTTAAAATAACATTTACGATTAAATATTGAGATTTAAAATGTATACTAAAAGTAATCATTATAATACATTATGGAAAATTCGTGTACTTTGTAAAAATTAAATTAAAGACAAAGCATTTGGATATATAAAACAATAAGCGAAGCTTCTGTTTGGAATGATTTAAAATTTTTTTTTTTATATTATATTTAAATTACAATTAACATTAAGGAAGACAGTCCAATTTCATTCACTACATTTAGTTATAGCAATAACAAAATAAAATAAATTTATTCTGTTGAGCTAAAACATATAAATTATTAAAAATTAATTTTTATAAGTTGCTACTAGTATAATTAAAATATATTTGTTTTGTAATATACATTACTGTTTTCACAAATGCTGTATTTTTTTATTATATAAATAAAAAATAATTAAATTATTGAGAACAATATAAAAACATAAGAGATTCTTTTATTTCCAAAAGTTATAATCATCATAATTGTCATCTTCTGCTAACATATTTAGTTTATAAAAAATAAAAAACTATTAATATAAGTCAATAAGTTAAGATTAAGAATTAATTAATATATAATTTAAAGTCAAATATGACGGAAGAAACTATTTTTTAAATAGAGGGGTTTTGAACAGTAGTGAGTTACAACAGCAAAATTTTATTTTTTAATTAATTGAGTTTACTATTTTGAATATTACTAAAAATTCATCATCAGTCCTCTTTGGAAATATTTCTTAGCTTTAATTATTTGTAATTCACTACTGTTTCAAACCACATTATTATCAATTTTTCTACGCTTTTATTTCGTATTAAAATATTGAAATTTGTTTGATTTTATAATAAGCATATAAATATATTTAGAATAAATATAGAAAATTGAAATTTATATGCAGATCTAATTTTTTATTTTAAGGTTTAGTCATTATTTTCTATGGCTTATACAAACATTTTGAAAATATATAAAAATTGAAACCAAATGTTATAATTTTCAATATAGAGCCTAGGATGAAAATTCTAACGATGCAAATCTAATAAAAGATACTGTAAAATTATAATACTTAAATTGTTATATGTTTTTAAATTGTTTACATATTTCAAAATATTACATATATAATTAAAAATATGTAAAATATGTTTGCAGAACTTTATATAATAAAAGACAACATTATAACTTTAAATTTATTTTTTCAAAGATTAAAAAATTATTTTTAATTAATTATATATGAAATTGCACAAAATCTTTGGTATATCAAAAAAAAAAATGTTAAATAATCTTAGAAAATCGTTATAGCCAAATCGTTTAGTTAGACTCATAACAATAACACAAATTTCATAACTATTAGTTTTTTTATATAGTTTCATCGAATATAAACTATTATTTTATGAAAAAAATGGCATTATCAGCATAATCATATATGCATTGATAATTATTTGATGACAAAAACAAAACGTGATCAATGCAGTTAGCAACTAAAAAGTAAAGTATAAGATATTAAAAGCATTTGCAGGTAGTTTATAACACAAAAGCATATAGCTTAACTTATTATACGGTTTAGTTTTCTTAGTTTGATTATTTTTCTAATATCTGAGTATATATTAAATATAACATTGACATTTCTTTTGCCTTATATGAGTATTTGATTTTATATTTACTTAAAAATTCAATTAAGGTACCAGATTTGAGTCCTTCAGTGTGATTCAGTGTGTATACAATGAAATATGCTATGCTAATATAAAAAGCATTAGATATGTTTTAGTGCTGTTTGTATGATTTATTATTATTTTGATATTAAATATTTAATTTATGAGTATTATAGGCGATAACTAGAATTTACTAAATACGTATGACTGACTACATTTTTTATATAATTATTGTACTGCATGTGATGTCATTTAGAATTTTAAATCATTCAATTTTACTATGTAATGACAATTTTAACATTTGTAAATATTTTTTAATTTTCCATTTGTTATTTGTAAACGACATTTTTTATTTAATTATCTGTCTTTAAGAATATTATTTTACGATTTTTTTTCTTAATAACTGGAGTTACCAAAAGATTCATCGTCAAGCATTTCGAGGAATGCCCGGGGAACCAAACCTTTAAGTAAACCTTGTTTTCCATACATGTAATCAGCATTGATTGGTGAACATTCAGTAACAAAAATAACCTAAAAATATTATGCATTCATTTACTTGTCTTTAATATTAGGGTTTGACTTTAATCTCAAATACCTCATTTGCGTTTAAATTCAATTCAGTATGATCCTTCGCATCATAGGAGCATAGCACTCTAGCTCGTCGCATTTGATCGGCATTTACATCGGTTGGATGGCGTCTGTTTACATTTGCACTATTAGCATTCGTATTCTCTTCTTCGTTTAGATTTATTGGAGCATATGGTGTAGGGCCTCCCAATCTTACAATGCCACAAGTGTTTTTTGCGATATAAAACAAAATTGAATGGATTTTGTATATGTAAATGAGAAAGCGAAATACACTTCAATTAATATTTTTAAAAAAAAAAAACTTTTATTTTAACAAAGAAATTAAATTAATTAAACATAAATATATTCAGTATTCTATAAAAAATCATGAAAATGATTTCAAATACACCTGTACTCTCTAACACACTCTCTCTCTCTATATATATATATGTAATAATAAAAACTACACTCTATTTTTTTTTTAATATAAACTTATCACCAGGTAAGGATTGCTAGGCGACAACAATATGCTGATCACGCTGGCTGGAGGAAGCTACAAGACGCTTCCAACTGATTATTCACATCGGCAAAGGTCAACAAAATGATTAAGTAAGTGAACTAAATATAAAAACTGCATTTTTTTTTTATAAATTAAACTCTGACTAATCATGATCATCAATATGACTATGGTCTTCGCAAAAAATCGGTAAATATTATATTCGCTAATATGTACATTTATTGTTTTAAATTTAATTTTATCCACTAAGAATATCAAAAGAATATTCGCATTTTAGTCAACTTTTATAAATTGATTCATTGTGTTTAAATAATGTATAGAAAAGTACTCAACATACTGTAATAGCTTATCTGTGATGTGCGTATTATCCAGATACGCAAAATGAATCTGGATAATACGCACAGATACTATAAGTTATTGTTCAAAATTGTAAGATTTGATAATCTTGCATAACCGCATAAAAAGCTTAAATGTTGCTTATCATAGATACCTAGTTCTACTGCATTTAATTCACAATCTTTGGAACCCATTTTACATCATACTAAGTTGAACTACTATGTCATACTATCAAGCAAAAACTCAAACTTTCTTTAGACGTGTTTTAAGTAAGATTAAGTAAGTCCTTTTATCGATATTAGAAACATTATTGAGAAAATCACACTAATCGTTACTATAACAAGAGTGAAGGAAAAGCATTGGGACACACCTGTCTGACCTTTTACTTTAGGTACAAGATACTGGAATCATGTGATCCTAAAAGTACGGGTACTGTGTTAGTGAAATAATCTTAACAAATTTATATAATTTTATTCTAAAGTAAATTATTGACTAACTTGACTTTGGCAGAATTTTAGCATTTTTTATATATAATATTTATAGTTAATATCACGTTTTATGATTTTTAATTATTCAACAATTTTTAATATAATTCCCGCAGAATTATTTCTGTTCAAGAGAAAATATTTGGCAAATTTAAAGAGTAACTGGATATTCTACGACAGTAAGTTATCAAATCAAGATTACTCAAAAAAATTTTCTCTTTTATAAAAACGTTTTATAATACTATAATAAAGATTTTACTAATTTTTAATTATGTTTTTCCAATTTTTAATTATGTTTTTTAAATTTTTAATTATATTTTTTTAATTTTTAATTATATGCATCTATGTATTAGATGATAAAAGTAAAAGTGTTTTCTTTTAATTACATCTTCTAAAACTTTTTTATTTTTAATTTAAAAATTAACAATGCAGAAGCAATTTGTGACTAATAACAATTTTTTCATATTTTACTATCTATAATAAAATTATTAGACTGGAATATATAAATTTATCAAACCTTAAGTTTTTAATAGAATAAGATAGAATTCGATATAAGATAAAAGTACATAACTAAATAATTAAATGGCTAGAATAATAACTGTTTTTAGTACTGATTTCGAGACACATTTATATTAAGGAACAATAAAATAATTTATAAATACTATAACCACTCAATCTACAATAGTAAACTCACAATTTTAACAATTAATGACTATTTGAACTTATTAAGCATAACATTTAAATCAGTGCAGTTATTGAAATATCTTAATTCTAAATGGTGCTTATAGCACTTGAATCAAATTCAATATCAAAATCTGCTAATATTTGTGTAGCAAATGGATTTGTGTTTTTGGTATTATCAGTGACTGAATTAATATCAATTGTCTTAAACTCATGCACATCACTATCGTCATAATCAATGTCCGCATTATTTAAATTATTTGTATGGTTGGTGTTGGGAGGCCCATCAACATCTTCACTATTTATGCGCAGGCGTGGCTTTTCTGGACGAAGTCTGAAAACCGCAATGGCAATTTATTCACCATTAAAAGCTTAACCAGTTAAATTTTTGTGCAATTACAATAATTTGGTGCAGAACTACTTTCAAGCGCTAATTTGGTGCTTTAATGTTAAAAATGTAACAATAGAAATTAAGTTTGGAACTTACCGTGCTAGTTCACGTTGCAAATTATTCATGACATCTGTGCACTGCTTGTAATAACGTACTTGAGTTTCCACAAATGCATGCAAATGGCGTAAATGTGATGCTTGTGAGGTACTGATTCCTTCAAGCAATAATTTAGTTATCTCTGATTGGCGATCAAATTCAGATTGTGCTACTCGAAGATCTCGTTCAGCCTTTAAGATTAAAACATTCATTTAGTGCATAATTACTAAAAATATGTCATTTTTATAAATTTTCATTCAGAGATATACCTGCTCCAAGACGGCTTCAGGCGATATGCCATCTTTCTAACAATCCCAACAAATGGTGTTATAACAAATAGCAGCATTTAGCAAAATTGAAAATGTTATTAACACTTTTTTTTAGTAAAACCATAAACTTAATACTATTTGGAAAATTATGAAGCTCAAAAAACGAAAAGATATAGAAATTACTTTGGTGTAGTGATAACATAAACACAACAAAAAAATAATACAGAAACTGCAGACGCAATTCGTTGGAAAAAAAAAAAAGAGTTCAAATAAAAAAAGGATCCTGTTACAATTTTTCTTATTACCGAAAAAAGTTTAGACGTTGACATTTTTTTAAAACAATTAAGATTCTTCAGCAGAGAAAGAGATTTTAAGACAAATCGTTTTACTTACATTTTGTTGGCCCAGCATACTTCTTGCTTTCTTTACACGGTTCTTGCAAGCGTCCAAATCAAGTCTAGACATAAATTTTTCAATATATAGTTTTCTCTCATAAACCAATAAACTTTATTGTTTTACCGCTTTGTTTCTAAGATTCCGCGCTCTTTAGTTATGGTTTTCATTTCACCATCCAAAAATTTTCGCAATGGCTGTGTAAAGCAAATGCCAGATGTGGCAATAAAGTCTCTTTCGCACTGGCCTAACTTCTGTTCAGCTTGTCCGACCTTTATCAAAGCCTGCCCATAAGGCAAATCTTGACCGAAGTCACCGCCCGCCTCAATCATTGCTAAAGCCAAATGCTCTAGGTTACTTAAACGCTGTGGTTTTGATTTTTCAATCTTTTCAAAGATGAAGTCCTCGACACGATTTTGGGGATTTGGTATAAGTACCGATTCGGTATCGCGTACAATTTTTTCCGTCCATGTTTTTGTAACATCTGCACGTTCCGCAAGATTTTGAAATTCTGTATCATATTCTGTACGTTCTGTGGTTCCCAGTTTTTCTTCAGTTAACTGAATTCGATAACAAATTATAATAAAAAATATCAATAGTAATAATCGTTAGCACGCAACATAAAAATATAAATATTACAAAACACCTTGACATAATAATGTTGGCATTCAATTTCTAAGAACTTGCCCACAACCACCCACTCATGCAAATATTTACCTGCACAACTCTAGACAAAGTGCTTCCAGCTTCTTTCACTAGGTTTTTTACATTGAAGTTTGGTAAATTAATATTCATTTTGATTCGTAAATATGTTTAACACAAACTGTTTTCTTTCAATAAATTTGTTTAATTTGAAAGGTTTATTTTTAATACCGAATCGGAACTTATTAATGTTATTGAATTTTTTCCAATGACCAAACGATAATTTTGTATTCAGATGAGAAAACAGTCCGAAAAAATAAATGTCAAAGAATACACAGAAAAACAACAAACCTACTGCAGAGCCGGTGCTGCCATATTAACAAATTTTTTTTGATGAAACTGTGTGCATGTTTAGCAATGTGTGGTCAAAATCATGAAACATTTACATTTTAAACTTTTTTTGTATTTTGTGATGCCATAAAAATGCTTTTAAAATCAAAAAAAAAAAAAAAGAAAATTTAATGTGAAAATAAAATACGAAATAAAGCAACAGTATATGTCAATTAAATTAATGAGTATGTTAAATTGTTTAAATTGGAAGTAGTTTATAGTAGCTATTTTTACAGTTTCAAGTGTAATAAGAGGTGTGTTCGACAGCTCCGATGTGTGGTAAAAAATAATAAATAGCCTGCCTATATTGCATTTACACTGGTCTCAAATGACTGATTTGGGTCAAAAATCGCAAATGAGAAGCAAATGACTGATACATTTGGCCGCATACAAAATCTCATTTGCGCAAATGAGTTCCATTTGCTGATTTTGTACAAATGAGTCCCAACGAGTTTTAAATGAGTTCCAAATACGTTCTAAATGCAAATGAATACATTGAACACACCCTAAAGATAAGCTTTTCATGTCATTTTGACATATTCACAAAAAATGGTAAATAAATATTTGGTGGTTGCACTTCCTTGTAAGCGATACACCTTTTCTTGAAACTTCTACTTCGCAAAAAGTACTTAATTGGAGCTAAAAATTATTTTTCAGTTAATATTGAAAGGTTTATAAGTTTATTTTACCTTCATTCAACATTTTTGTTGCACAGGCCAAAAATCAATTCAACAGTCACGTTGAGAAATCAGCTGTTTGAAAAGAAAACAAATAAAGAAAAAGGAACGTAAACACTTTCAAATGATTGATTTGAAATGAGACAAATTTACACTGAATTAACCAGTGTAAATGGCATATTAAACTCTACTTTCAATACTACTTTCTCCGTCTTAAAGACTAGTAATGAAGTGGCTAAACATCTAAGCGACTATATAAAGATATGTTACAAATACGATAAACGGTCTATTGTGAACCTTCATTGTAAATTTCAACGAATATTCCAGTCATCTGTCAAAAGTGTGTAAGCAAAAATTCAAACAGTATTAAAAAGTTTCATAAATTTGAAAATTGTCAAAATAAAATACTTTAAATATATGCAAAATTGTGGAAAACAAATATTTATGAACTATGAAAAAAGTTTTATGCGTACTTGAAGAAAATATAATTGAAAAGTTAATCTTTATTCAGGCATAAAAATCCTAAACTATTATTAATTTTGTTGTAAAACAAAATTTCATTCTGCATTTTCAACATTGCTTTTATTTCATTATTCATTTCAATTCTCAATTTTATTTTAATTATTTTTACACATAATTTATTTGCGAAAACATAACGTTTGACAGAAGGCAACAGTAATGCCCATGTGTTACTTAGCGACTTTAGCAAGCGATTTCTTTTTTGTCACACTTCGGAGCTTTAGAGTTTCCGAATACACCTAATATAAAAGTTTTGCGATTTCAAATCAAACTATTAACATATGAGGAAATCTTTCTTTGCAATGGATTAAGTTGCAGGTAATGTTTTTGATTTTTAAAATTATTGTGAATACACAATAATTGTGAATAAAACTGACTATTTTGAACTGTTATATTAATTGTTAGTTTTCTATTTACAATTTTTAAGTTCAATGCGAAGTATTTGGTAAGCAGTTTAATTATTCATATCAATAGGGGAATTTATAAAATTTAGTTTATAAAAATATGGTTTAGATGCTATTGTTTAATTTTTTAATTTTGTATGTTTTCAAATTCTATGCTGGCAAATAATATTTGATATTTGCATAGTGTTTATTAGGCGATTACTCAGTACATCACACAAATATTGGCCTTGTCTAATAATATGTGTTGTCTTCTTTACTTTACCCTAAACAAAATGAATTTGAAAAAATCAGATTCAAATGAGACTCTAATGAAAGTTCATGTTTACTTAAGTTGACCAACCAACATTTTGTGAGTTACCACCTGACACGGGTCTCACCTCTAACGGCAGTTCTATATCATGCACGACTTGTGCAGTCTTGTACATCAAGTGCTATAAGTGCTGCCTGATTCGATCACCATACCACTCCATTAATGTTGTCGTCCTCTGACTATAATTTCTAACTTTATATCAATCAGTTCACTATAACTGATTATTTCTGTCTGCAAAAATCTTGTGTCTTTTACAATAAATTATAATTAAATTTATTTTTATAAAATTATTAAGCAATTGTACTTTATAGTTTTGGGTGAAGTAATTCTCTATAACATTTTGTTAGTTCTTCTGTTCTAATAATATGCAAATACTTAGAAAAATTTCACATATGTATATATTACTTATATACATGAGTTATAAATCTCAAGAAGACCTCACACTTTACAAAACATAAGTTTATATATGTATATACATATGTATATATCGTAAATATAAAAATGATCACCTAAAAACTCTAGAAAGACTGACTATGGTTTGTGCGAGCTTAAAAGCAAATTGTTTCAAACATTTCTGAATTAAAACAAATATAATATAAAAAGAAAAAAATAAACAAGTCAAAACAAACAATTTTATTATTTTTTTTTCAAAAATTTTCGTTTTAATATTAAAACCTGATATTTTTTTTATAAATGTGAAGCTAATGATTAAAGAAGAAAATATTTTAGCTTATGAAAAATGAGTTTGTTGACCTTAAGCGTGTGTTATAAATATTTTATTTAAAATAATTTAATTGTTATGCTTAATATGTAGATAATTTTAAATTAAACTAATAATAATAAACAATATTAAATTAAATTCTGGAAACGTAAACCTTTGAGAATACTTCCGTTACGTCCATTAAAATCCTTAAATTCTATGCCATCAACAATATCTGACTGTAGACTGCAAGGATACTCGGCACCATAAGCATCTGAGTTCCATATTAATTTTATTTGATATTCGACATCTGGAGAAAGTACCACACCATCACTCCAACTTATATTTAAATCACAATTATATTTAATGGGTTGCTTGGTAACAGTGTGGTGCCAAATAATAGATTGATTTTCTGCAATTCTATCTGCTTCGATTGAAGGTTCCCTGATATCAATTTCTGGTCTTTGACATATTGCACTGATTTCAATACGTACATTTTCATTATATTCAGTCGGTAAACTTAAAATAGCGTGTGGCATATGAGTTGTTGTTGCAAATATCGCTGAAAAATTTGGTGTTAAACGACTGTGTATTATAAGACCTCGTAATGATATGAAACGATCACATTTTATAGTTACAGTCCACTCATGATTATCGAATTCAACAATAAACGGACGACATGCTTTGTAGTAACAACGCTCCACTGAACAGCATTGCTGCAAATTTGACTTCATATCGAAATCTGAATTGCTGTTAATGAGACCATTCTCTTTCAATTGTAAATCATCTATTATAAGACCACAATCTTTATTTTGTAAGCCTAACTCATTGCATTCCTGCTGACACCATTCATATGCAAACCAGAGCAATTGTTTATGTTGCTCCTTCTTAGCGGCAGCAATGATTGATTTCATGCAGAACTTGGATATATGCACATAATTTGATTTTAAATGTGTCATAAATTGTGGATCGGTTAAGCAGCAGCGTAAGAAGAATGACATGCACACTTCCAATAAACCACTCAGATCCATGCATGCACTTAATTCTAGTGCTGGCAAAATATTGGAAAAACGCAATTTTCGAGTTATAGCAAATAAACAGTCGCCAATCAATTCCTTCAGTAAATATTTTTCAGCGCCATAATACAACTCGATGGTTTCTTCTAATGTTAGGTGTTGAAAATCTATTGATCCCATGTAGATATATTCGACTAGTAACTTAAATATATCGGTATTTAAATCAAGTATTTCGATTTCTCGCTGTTCACATATAGGTCCATAAAACATTGCTTCGAATACTGGACTTGCTGCAGATAGTATTAGTTTATGGCATTTAACAACTTCAGCTCCCACATGAAATACACAATCACAGAACTTTTCGGTACGCAATAGTTGTTCATATCGCCTGCTTAGCATTGTAGCTACATTTGTTTTATCCGTGAGATGATTAGCGAGTTGTAAGGATTTGTTTTCTGGGGTGCTTTGTGTGATATTTGCAGTCATCTGAAAAAAGTATACACATTAGAGACATTCGATACACTATTATTTTTATGCTTAAAAAGTAAAAAACTTTTCCGAATCAGACATTTTATGTTCGATTTTTAGAAAAATTGATATAGTGTGACAAATGGAAAAATTATAGGAAACTTTTAAGACATAGTTTTGAGTTTACCTTGCTATAGAATTGCAAATATTTGATCCAATATTTTAAAGTGAAACTTTAAATTTACACTAATTTATACATAACATAACATTATAATAAATTTAGTGAAATTTCAAAAGATTTAAACTCATTTTTCAAACTTTCTAAAATCGATGAATAAATGCAAAATAGATTTTAATACTATAAAGATAAAGATAAAAATATTTTTTCGAATAAATCATTTAACACATAATCTAGCCAGAATCTCATTAGTGGCTAATCTAATACAATAAATCATAAACTTTGTTTTCGCTTTACATCTCCGGTTTATATTATTATTATTACAGATTGTACATATGATTTTTTTTTAATAGCAGTACATGTGCAAGTCATTATTTACATATTTAACTAGTATTTCCTTTACAAAAATCCCAGCGTATTTACCCAAAACAGAACTATATTTACCAAATGATTAACAAATAATATATAGATAAAATACTCTCTTCTACTCTACTGTACATTTGTTATTCTTAAAAAAACCTGTTTTAATAAAATTCAGATGTGTTTAAAAAACATACTTCAATCATATGATGTATTACTTTCTGATTTAATATTATTTTAAGTGTTTGTTCTTCTCTCAAAATAATAAAGGAAACGTAATACTTCTACAAAACTCATGTGGATAACATTTGTGATTGAATTATCAATATAAACCAGAATAGGAGTTATTGATCGTGAACTTGAAACTCATTTATGCAAAACAAATTCAAGCTCCTCATGTGTTAATTAATCACTTAATTAAGGTGACCATAGGTGATTGTTTCTAAAAGTAATGGTAACAATAATTCTAATAGTACCTCCATACGACACGAATCTGTTATTACGTTCCTTCTACTGCTTTTTATTATCTTCGACTGTTTTTCTAGACCTTACCACCACCCATTTTAAACCCTACTATCACTCTAGTTGAATTTGTAATGTTTATTATCATGCTTATATATACCTCATAATATTTATAACGTCAAATCCGCCAAAACACAAAATCGTTGATGTTCGTAGTAATAATAGTTTAGATTTTAAAACTAATTACGTTAGAAATGTATGTTATATATTAAATATATTCTCAAAATGAAGACCTCTAACCGTACTATATAGCAATGTTTTACTCTTAAAACAGCCGTAATTAATTTTAATTTCAAGTGTGTCTTCTATTTTTCCTCTATTGAAAATTATCTCATCTGATCCAAATTGGCTCTACGAATTAGAAGAAAACTTTACTTTACCGGGTGTATCACTGCCCATCATTTTCTAGGATATTCAATATTATAGGAATTCTTTTTCTAACTGTTATTCTCTAAAATTAGAGACAGTGATAAGTTTATAGTCTTGCAGATTGATTTCACCTGAATAGGAGCACCAAGTTCTCTCAAAATAATCCGTTGTGCACAAGATGTTTGGAACTTGAATCTTAAGATGATTTAGTCAATACATAAGGGTGTCACTTCAACTTAACCTAACACATTAAGCCTTTTAGAAAATGTTTTTATTAAGTAGTAACTCGTTATTACCTTTAGTTGTACTTTTACTTCTACTTGTTATATAGAATTAAATTTTTGTTACTTCTATTAATGTACTAGTGAATTTGAACGAGGTTAGAATAATCCGGACAGACTATTAAATTTCTTGCAGATTAAACATTTTCCCATCTTACGTTGGTTTTCCAGATAAGTGTAGTCAGACTTAGTACTGGTAGTAGATCAGCAGATTTAGATTTATGGTATCAGATTATTGTAATCTGATACCACGATGACATGGAAACGATGCTGTTGTGCTATTTCACTAAGATACTGGCCGCAGCAAGTACACATTTCGACTCAGCTGCGTTCAATTTGATAATCACATGTTGGTTATCTGTAACTGGTCAGATCTGTCTAATATTAACATTTTTTAGTATCCATTCTACTACTCTATCCATTGTAGTATCAGGTTGATTAATATGTATGAATACAATGATGAAAATATCTGTCATACAGGCTTAACACCAGATCTTCAGAGAAGATCCAATAGCTTATTTCTGATCCATTTCCTAAGTCACACTTTTATTTATAGAAGAATAATATTACATATTCTTTATAAACTTATCCAAAAATCAAGATATATGGTGGGTCGAAAACAATTTTATTAAAGAGTAATTCATATTTTTATTTGAAATTTGATAGAGATATGGTCTTCCTAATTCTCGCGAAATGTAGCTTAACCGATGCGATCATTGTTTATATCTTAATACAGAAACATATGTACATACATATATACTAGTATTGTTTGCCCTGTGATTGTTTATTTAATATCAGTTGTCTGAACACGCTCTCTTGCATTTCAATATCGTCATCGTCATCGTCATGTTTTGTTGTCATATGCCGGCCTCATTTAAAAACAATACCAAAAATACAAGTTCTAGATACTTTTGAGCATTTACGTTGCTTGCAAATTCTTATTGAAAAAATAAACAAATATTTTATTTACGAATTCATTTCATTAAAAAATAAAAATAGTCTTTGATGAATTGCGATTTAATATTATATTTTTTTCATTTGTGTGAATAGGAAAGTTATTTAATAGTCAATTAAAATTCAGGTGAAGAATAATAAAGTTATACGATATGAAAGATATATAAGATAGAATATTAAATCAATGCAATAATCAATGTCGTCAATTATTATATTATTATGAAACCGAGTGCCGGGTATAAAATAATATAAGTTCTATGGCATAATATAATTTTAATAAAAGATACCACTAATAACGAACCACCTTTTTAATTTCATAATGTCACGACATCTGATACATCACTAAATTATTAAGATAGTACTAATCGTAAAAAAAGTGTTCTATCTGAATATATAGAACAACGTTTCTCACACTTTCAGTTTAAAATATAATTAATATTTCAATCAAGTAACAAAACTCCAGAAAAATGTGCAAACATAGTACGGCTTTTAGTCAGTTAGTTAAGGTGCGCTGACTCTGAGCTTCAAATTTGGCAGGACACAAGTTCGACTCCTGGTACTTGCAGTCTCAAAAAATTATTTATGAACAATTAAATACAAGAATTATTTCCAATACAAGAAGTATTTGACAATACTCGAAACAGCTGTATGGTCAGACAAAAATTCAATTAATTAAAATAATAAAAAATGAATTTTTGTTGTTGTAGTTCACTACTGTTCGAAAAACCTCTTTATATTTTAATCATAAAAATTACTATGTATAAATAGGATTATTTGTTACAATTGACCTCGATTTGTTATTAAAAATCTTAATTTAATCGTGTATTATAATATTACTGTAAATATTATAACAATAATAATAACAATACAATAATAAAATAATAATATACAATAGTATAATAATATTATAACGATTAAAGTCAGTGTTTTATAACTAAAATATACAAACTGATCAAATAAGTTAAGTAGCTGAAACTAATTTCTTAAATAATGAAACTAATAGATCGATAAGTGTTGAATGCATCATCCGATATGTTTAAATAGATTAATAAACGAATGACGAATGACATCCTCCCAGACGTCAAGATTGATCCGATCAAAAAATACATAAAAAAAACATACATATCCATATGATTACAGATTCCTCGGGGAGGTATGCAGATCTAAGTTCAGTTATTGCTGAGTCAAATGAAGTGATAAACAATAATCCAGTCAAGGCGTAGAGAGGGGTTATAAAGAAACTTCGCAGTTAATAGAGAGTAAACGTGTTCAAGTGCACTGACTCAATTAGCCTCAACATAATAATAATGCTAAGTCATCCAACAGATAGATAAGTTGCATCGAGAATTGGATCAAAATTGTGCATAGTTCGATACATTTTATAAAGAACATGAGAGAGCACTTCCTATAGGGTTTGTAGTGAAAACCAATTTTATTTCTGTTTTGTATTTCGATTAAATTGTGCTCTAAATGAGGTATCTAAGGGTTGTCTAAGTCTTTTTTATTTCTACAAATCATTCAAAACGCAAACTACATAAATTATCATAATGAAATATCAGAGATTTCAGAGTTCAATAAAAAGCACTTACCTTTACTTTTCGGTAACAAAATCAATCAGATTAGATAAGTTCTACTAAGTGTTTATAAATATTCTAATTAACTGAATAAAATTTCTCCGTGGTGTTAATTACAGATTAAATTAATTTAAATTTTGTTGTGTTGTGTCGTGCGTTTATTTTTATTTATTTTATCAAATCGAAAACAATATTTTGTTTAATAGATTTTTTTAAATGTCACCTGAAACGTCATAGTTCCATTTTATTGCCTACTGCGTGTTTCATATATATTTATAAATATTTTTGTGTTTAATTTTTAATTTATTTATTTTATTACAATTATGTTCTATATTTTATTATTTTATATACATATATATTTGTATGTACATTTATAATTTCAAATGTTGAATCTGTCCTTTCTTCTTGGCATATATTCAAAATAAATATATATTCTCTTTTGTATTATACATGAATGATTTCTGAGAAGAATTGTATATATTAAAAAATTACGTAAATCATTTATAGTATTCTGTACGATAATTTATCACAGATTTTCTCGTAAATATTGTACATCCACTTTTAGTTTCAATTAATGCAAATTGCATCGGATTTGCTGAACTTGACCGATAATCGCTATCGTTTGCAACGAAATGAATTTATCTGCACGTATTTAGCGAAGCTTTTTCATTCATGAGTTCATTAAGTATCTGCGTTCCCACAGTTACAGAATTTCAGATATAGATACTTTCAATTTAAGCACTGTTAAGCGCGCTACAAACGCTAAATTCCGGCAACCACTTCAGTTCACGGGCAGCACTCGACTAAGTAAATTTCACGATATTCTCACTTGTTTATTTGAAAGTTTGAGTATCTTTTTTTGTCATCATTCTGAACTCTTTGGGTTTTAGTGCCGATCGAAACTTTTGCCTCCGGTTAACTAACTTGTTTTATATGTTCTTCCCGCTCAAAGTTCTGAGTAAATGCTTTCAATTCAGCAAATTGACGGCTGATATGCTCTCCAGCCGTTTCGCACACATTAAATTGCTTCGGAATTAAGCGTAAAAATTTGCATAAAGATTTTTTAATTGAAATAAAAAATTGAGTCAGCTTTCATTCGATATCTGCGTTTTAGTTTTTCAAAAAGTATCTTTTGAGAATTTCCAAATGTGTGATTTATTTTCGCCTCTTAATAAATACACTATATCAGATAGAAGAATAGATAGAAGCCTGCCATAAGGAGTTGTGTTCAACACAGTAATTTGGAGATAAGTAAGTATTTACAAATATAGAAACTCATGTGAAGTGCCACTAACAACTATAGTATACTTAAGTCGTACGATTCTGAAGTACGACATAACACTTCTACAGTTAAAATGTGTTATTTACATTATATATTGTAATGTAACAGGAAAATTCATTTTTAAGAGAAAATCTGTGAACAGCTATAATTTTGAACAAACTATTATTGGAATAAACACTGAAATATAGTTTATATATTGTTAAAGTTAAAGTATTTTAGCCAAATACAATTTCAAACGACCTATGAGAAACGTAATTAAAAAGCGCAAATGGGAATGGATCGGTTACACTTTGCGTAGACCGACTGGTGACACCACAAGTATGGTGACTGAGTGGAACCCGATGGGCAGCAGAAGTAGGGGCAGACCTGCTCACACCTCGAGAAGACAAACCGACACGAAAATGTCACACATGCGGAAAGGCTGGGGAGAGTTGAAGCTATTGGCCACCAATCGTACCGAGTGGAAGTTATTTGTTGCGGCCATATGCTCCTCATATACGAGTTAAAGGATTAAATATGTATATACAGTTTCTTATGTATATGTGAAAATCTATATTAACAATAATGTGGACTACTGAAAAAGTAATATTCTGTTTATTGTCTCATTTTAATCAACAATTTCTCAGACATAAATTATTGAATATAATTGTTTATAAATAATTTAAATAATTTGATTTAGCTGCTATAATATATGCGATTATACTAAATATTCTTTTTTATTTGAGCTATAATTAAAACAAGGCTTTCTTCCTTACATTACTTCGCCAGTCCTCACGGTTTTTCGAAGTTTCTTTTCAATCATAGACGCCAAGTCATCAATATCCTATCGTTCTTTTCCCCATTCAGACTTTGAAGCATAATTTGCGTATCATTGTTTATTGTACTACATAAACATCCTATCTGATTCTTTGATACCTCATTTGAGTTTTCCAGCATTTATTCTGCAATAAAACCTGCACCTTTGTACTATCCTCCTCCTACATATCCATGAGAGAACATTCCGTTGTGTATACAATCGATAGTATTCACAGTAAAGTATTGTCAAAACTATTATGTATTAAAGATTCTATGAACGCGAGTATTGATTGATCACTTAGCTTGTAGGATTCAAGATATATCAATTATTAATAACTTTCAAATTGTAGTTCTCAATAGTCAGAATCTGATTTAATCTGTATATTCAGTACTGGATGTCACAGAAATATTAACATTCTACCTTTGTTAATGCGAAGTCTACCTTCTCAGGAACAGACTATACAGTCTAACAAATTTATTAATTTAATGGAAAATCTTTAATTAATTGTTAGTACGACCAATTTAGAATAAGTTAATTGTGTAATGATTGTTCACTAAAGATGGACCGAAATATCTGTAATGTAAATAATTTTTTTTTAAATTAAAATATAAATAAAATATTTAGCACAAATTAATATCTTTATAATTGTATGTGTTAAATAAAGGACCTAAGCCCGACCTAATCAAAAAACTTAATTAGAAAAGTCTTTCGATAATATCTATAGAATGATCAGTTATCGAAGAGGGTTGTTATATAAAAGAACAATATCTCTCCTAATTAGATATAGTTAGAGGCCTAGTAACATGCCTAATTAAATAAAAATTTTAAATTAAGTAATGAGCTTCAATATATTAATATGGTATATCAATATAAAATCAATATATTCAATTGTATATATCAATGTCTATAATTCAGATTTTGTACTAAGAACTTTGAAGTACTTTCAAGAAATCCAATTGTTATATATGTTCATTTTTATTAATATATAAAAAAAATCTTCTCTTAAAAGTCTTAATAGTCTTAAAAAGAATGTATGTGTGCATGAGCAAGTATTAAGGTAAATAAATCGCAGAGAAATAATTATGCCAATTTTGATTTCATCAAATAAGATAATAAAATAAGAACAAAGGATTGAGTCAAAAGTTTATTAATATTAATAATAAATTACTAATGAAGTGAAATGAATCTTGTCAAAATCATGAACAATTTACTCCATTAAACGAAAATTAGCCACTATTATGCCAAGTGTAGAGTGCTTTCTCGGATGCCAACGAAACCAAACACAAATTAAGAATTCTTGCAGATAGTCTGTGTTTTGGTATATGGAAGATGCTCTTAAGCTGTTGTCTTGCTACTTCATTCTGTGGTCTTCCGATGAACACGGTAAACTGGTAATAAATAAGAGGTACAAAATGCAGCAACACTTTGGAGATGAGCGAACAAATTGCAACCAAAATAACTTTGGACTTGATTATTACATCTGCGGTCTTTCATAGGTTCAAGGTTATTCTTTAAGGTATGTGATGAGAACACAGTTAACGTTCATATAAAAAAAGGAATAAAGCACACAAAATGTATAAGTAACTATGAAATAAAATAGTATATGATATAGTTCTTTCAAGACACGCGAAATTATTTCTAATGTCAGTATATACTTATATATATTATCTATGTATATATCATATATATTGCGTTTTAAATAAATAAATTCATTATTAACATTTTGCAAATGTTAATTTATGTTAATTACTTTCCTTGTTTACAAAATTTTATACCAAAACAGTGTTTACATTGAATTGATATAAAATCAAAAATTCCAGGTTTCAAAATATAATTCCCAATTTTAAATATGTCGCAATTAGTTTCTATTATGGCATTCAATTTATTTATACCACATATATACCGTATATATTAAATATGAGCAATTAATTAATTCGCTGAAAACAATGTTAAAAATGCTTAGAAAAAATTTTAAAAATTAATTTATACGACCATAGATGTACAGAGGTTTCATATACGAATAATAAACATATAATTATAATGATCATTTCACCACAAGGTGAAATTTTAAAAATTAATTTATACGACCATTGATTTACAGAGGTTTCGTATACGAGTAATATGTTAAACATATCATAATGATCATTTCAACAAAAGGTGGTCAAATATTGATGATACTTTTCATTATTCCTTTATTTTAAAATGATCCTTCAACCCAAATATAAGTAATATTATGTTAATCTGAAGAAAAATCTGAATAGATGATAATTCTTGTCAGATCACAAAACTCATCTGTACCAAATTGGCCAAAAAAGCGTACCACTTAACTATAATAACTAGAGCGCAACCTACACAGTACTACGGTAACAGTGCGGATAGATCACTGCTTATGGGTAAGTCATGTAATGAAACTTTATACACCCTCTAATGATTTTGTCGGAGTTTTGAAAATTGCATATAAGGAAAAAAACTGTTCTTCACTTCATTTACCATTGGTCATCTCTGTTTAAATGAGAATTAAAAATATTTGAGGCCTTCTTTTTAATTGACTTAACAGAGTTATCATGATTTAAAATCAGGAATATAGCTAAGTTCTTAGACTTGCGAGGTTAGTTCGCTTCGCGTCGCGAATTTCATAACGGCACCGTTCGTGTACTATATACTTCAACTAGAACCTTATCGTTACGGACGATGTCTCTTCCCATTGTGATAATGGGCCATTTTTTGTGATAAAGTAAGGCTTGGTGTACAAGACAGTCACTCCAACCTAACTAAACCTAGGTTAATACGGTTAGCCGTAAATTACACAGAGACCTCTCCATCTCTCGTGCTCTCGCTGAAACGTAATTTAACTTTCAAATTATGGAGTTCTGAAGTATTTTAAGCGTATTTCTGCTAATGATGGATGTAAGCGTAACAGGTGTTCAAATGTAACCTTTTCCCAGCTTTCTACATCTTGAATGTGTATACCGATAATTATTAAATATTCAATACATATATCTTATCATTGTCATATTTTGTTTTTATAATCTCATAACAAGAAATTCTAATAATATATATAGAAATATTATTAAATGGAGTTGTGGTAGTTTTTGTTTTAACTACTCAAATATTTCGGATACTGCAAAATATATATCCGTCATCACTAACGTCAAGAATCTTATGAGAGTTGGTAGTTCTTGAAAACATTTGTAATGAAG